AACACTAAAAATCTTTTGGCGCAGTAAAGATGTCAGGCTAAATTATTCAGATCAATCATTGACTTTGCTGTTTTCATTAGTTTCTAAAACACACATTTCTTTACAATTTAAAATACCATTTTTGGATATTTTTTCTTCTGGACATACTGTTGGCCAAAAAAATACTAAATTAAAAAACTTACATATACCTTAGGAACAGTATGGCATAAAATTTTGGGGGTTTTAAAACCTTGACTTTTCCAAACTACGGTATACCTTGAAAACAGTTATCGCCCAATGCCTATTACTGGCCTGATCGGGACAATGCTGCCTTGTCACTAAAGTTTAATTTGCCTGTGAATATTTGTCAGTTGTGTGCATTTTAAGTTTGTGCTTTTAAGTCTTTGAATGCTACCTTCTCCGTGTTGTCGTAAATACCAAATTGCTTTTCGGTTTCTCTAATCTGATTTGATGTTTTGAGCATGCTATTTTGTTCCTATATCCTGGTAACAACCAGTACAGTAAAGTGATGGCAACATCAAATTATAAGGGTAAAGGAAAATGTCTGGTTCTAATATCTTGGTAGCAGACATTTATGAGGATATAACACAACAACAAAAAAATGAGCGTTTTGCACAATTTGCCATCAGTATGACAAGTTGGCAAATTTGAATCTGCAATAACACTTTGACGATCTCTCCCTCATTAGCATAGACAGCCCTGAGTGAGAAGCAGTCATCTGCCCATTAAAGATCCCCTAGTGGAATCAAGAATAAGGGTAAAGACTACAAACTACAAAAAAAAAAAAAAAAAGGCAGATTTTTTGTGCAAAAAATGTGTATTATTGTAGTAAGTGTGTAATCTATTGTAATCTATTATTTTATAAACCTCTCATCACATGATAAAGAATTTTCATTGTTGAATCAGTCAAGAAGCATCACACACAAAACTGCGCTGTTTTTCATTTTCATAACACTAAATGTGTGCCTCTATTGCTATTAAAAAAAGTCACTAAACGCCGATTTTGAATCGCCTGTTCATGGGAAGTGTCTTTTCTAGATTCACCGGGTGAAAACCAGCAGCATAACTGCAACCAGAAAAAGCTCAAGGCGGGAAAAGGAAAGGAAATGATTGTGTTCAAGTAATTAGAGCACAAATGTTCTGGCTACATTGTTCCTCTGAAAAGACAACACTGTCCCGCAGGCAAACACACTCAAACACAACACACATACAGAGAGAGAGAGAGAGAGAGAGAGAGAAAGAGAGAGAGAGAGAGAGAGAGGCACACACATCAGATGCTAATGGAGCTCAAACAATCGTCCTGTCAAACCTGTATTTCTACCTTATAATGATAACCACATTCATCAAGCATATATTTCAGTGAGATGTGGTTAGTTTTCAGTGCTGTTGGTGTGAAAACATGTAAACACTGCCAAATTTACAGTAACTTATTTCAGAATGACAGTACGCCGCAGTCATTAAGTCGAAAAAGCAGCAATTTTTCTGAGGCAAAATGAAATCAGCAGCGGAGAATCAGCAGGATCTCCTGACATCTGCTGGGCATGATGTTAATTACATGTGAATATTAAAATTGAATATACAGCTTTTAAATGACATAGAACACCCATAGTCCATAATAAAGACAGGAGTTCATTAATTTTTAAATGGCTTTATTTGAAATTGGTCACATAAAGACGACGACGACAACAACAAACTTTGTAATATTTGAAAGAAACATTGGATCTATTTGTTTTTTTGTTTGTGCTTTTCTTATTAACATTTATTGATCTAGTCACTGATTAATGGACTGATTTTAAAATAAAGATAAACATTCGAGGTAAAGTTTAAGGTAAAATTTCTAATAACTAGTGTATTTTGTCTTTGCCATGGTGACAGTGCATAATATTTGTTCACTTATATTCAGCTTAATGTGTCATTGAAAGGCTAAACTTGGTTATTTTATTAACTAGGCAGGTTAGATTAATCGGACAATTCATTGGACAACAGTGGTTTTTACTGTAGACCAGTGGTTCTCCAACTGTGGTACATGTGTCACTTGTGGTACGTGGAGGAATCAAATATGTAATATGTACATGCTACATATATTTCAAAATTTATCAAAATTTATTTATATATGAATATGATGACATATATAGCCTATATTTCTAAGGTCCAGGCAACATTTAAATGGCTACAATATGTTAATATTTCACATTTAAGAAGAAGTTTTTTTTTTTTTTTTTTACTTTTTAAGAACAGTAATCTTTCATTTTGAACTTTTAAAAGCATATTTTAATTTAGACGTTGACTTTTTATTTTTATTTGTTTGTTTATTTGCTTGTTTTTTCATAAAAGCACAGTACTGTGTTAATGTTCTAACTATGTTTAAAGTGGCTGACAATAATAAATATTTTTAATTATAGGAACTAATCTGCCTCATTTTAGAACTGTGCAGTGCTGCTGCTTCCTCGGGCCTACTACGCTACTATATTTCTATACAGCTTATTATGATGGTACTTGGAGAGACAATTCTTTTTTGAGGTGATACTTGATTAAAAAAATTGAGAACCACTGCTGTAGACAATTGGGAACAAAAAATAATCTTAAGGAGGATAATAGATTGATTTCATGCAGCCGCCATTTTAAAAGCGAAATCAAGGCTGCGGTGCTAAGAAACCCGGTATAGCCTGAAGTCACAAATCTTATCAGCAAAGAGAGAGTGACACAAATTTATTTTTTCACCACCGAGGTCCATTCTGAATGGATAGGGAAAATAAAAAGGGATATCAGACCTCATTTTTAGCTAAGTTAAGGGAAATGTCACTAGTTAGCTAACATTTTCTTTCCCAAACACACGTTTTAGATGCCATTTATCAAACTCAAATTAATGAACTGAACCTTTCATTAAATAATAGACCTGTAACGATACTGAATTTCAGTACTGAATTTTAAAAAAAAGCGCCCACTGTACTTCTCTGATATTTATCGAGTGCAAACCCAGACGAGCTATCCGCTGATAACTCGACCAATCTTGGCGGCTTAAAAACGCTCCAGTGTTCGTGTATTTGTTTTTGCACTAGGTGAAGAGCAGTAAACGGATGACCTTCACGGCCAATCACTGTCCTTTCTGTTGAGCACCGGTGAATAGTATGTAAGGGTGTCACAATTTCAATGTTAAATCGAAAATCGATCGAAATTCATGCTCAATTTCAATTATCGAATAAAAAAAAAAGAATCGTTGATGCTGCCACGCCCCCATGTCACGTCAGCTTGGCTTGCCAAGAGGAAAAAAACACGCTTGTTGAAGAGCTTGTTGAACTGCAGTTGCAGGAGACCCGTCGACAGAACTTAAACCCTTTCCTCTTTCAATGAAGTCGCCGATGTGAAAGTATTTTGGATTTCCAGTGAGTTATGTTGACAACGTTCCTGTTGTCGGAAAAAAAAAATAGTTTGCAAGCTCTGCTATGTATTAGGGTTGGGCCGATAGACAACACTGGCATTGCGATCCTCCGCCCCGCCCACGTTGCCAATCCGCTCGTGAAAAATACACACTCAGGCCATGTTTACATTTATGCAGCGTTCACATCAGAAGCGTAATGCATGTCAAGCCCAAGAGTGATTTACATGTTAAGTCAATGCAAATGCGCGAATATACATCCTGCGGCATGATACACGCAAATGGCGCGGCGCGAATGATGCAAATTGCGCGAATGGCGTGGTGCGAATGGCGTGGTGCGAATGGCGCGATACACACGAATGGCGTGGCGTGAATTGAGCGTTTTGCACGTTTTGTGCTTTTGACGTGCGTTTCGCGCAAATCACTCGAGTTTGAAAATCTGAAATTCAGCGGACATTCGCGCAATTTATCCACGCGTTCCGCGTCTGGTGTGAACGCAGCATAATAAGTCTTAGTTTTTAAATGGCATTTTATAACGATAACGCCACACTGGCGTTTTGCATTTCTGAGCAGCCCTCCTTCCTCACTACCGCTGAAAACGCACATCACGTGATCACACACACACAGGCAGGCACACACAGAGACGCACACACATTGTCTTGCACTCGAGACAGCAGGTCCAGGCAGTCAGCGGGTCAGTAGACTGCTTCAATCTTTCACTTTCACACTTGTACTTGGTAATTTTAGGGAACACCTCAGATACTGTTGGCTGGTTCCTGTTGGTTGTGCACCTTTTTTTACCGACGGCATTATAAGGACACAGATCACTGCCTATTCACGAGTCCCACGGAAAAAGTGATTGAGAGGTGGCAATTATGTGTGTAACTTATCTTCATTCATTTACTGTATGATTTGTTTATGATTTTGTTTAATTTTTCTTTTTTAAATCAAAAATTGAATCAAATCATGACTTTAGAATCAAAAATGTAATCAACTAAATAAATGCAAATCAACAATGTTTAAGAATGCGCTCAACAATGCTTAAATGTTAGTGGGAAATGGACATTTTTAATTTTCAGTACGTTTACACTATTACAGACAAAATGAGGATGTGCAACAGAGGACTGCATTGTTTTTATCGCTCACCGGGTTACTTATGCTTTTAAATGTATATATTCAACTTAACTGAATGATATTAAAGTGATGTTTACACCATATCTGCATTCTGAAATCGAAGCAACAGCTGGAGTTTAGTAGTCCACAGCATGCTGATGCAAACTTTACAGTGCTGATCCTATACTTATGGCTTTTTTCCCATCGGAGCCTCACTTTCGTTTTTTCAAAATGGCAGCCGTGTGAAATGAGTGTAAAATATAATTAAAATAGTTTCATAAAATGTAAAATTTTTGTTAATAAAATTTAAAAACTGCTTTTTCAGCCAAACTAAAGGGAAAAAAAAAAGATTTCCTCCAAAAGAAGCAATATTTTAGTAAATCCTGTGAATATTTTCTTGGTCACACACACACACATAGAATTATTACTATTATTATTAATGAATGTCTAATTTGTAATAAATTAGCAATAGCAACAGGAAGAGTAACAAGAACAATAACAATAAAAAGTAAACAAATAACAGCAAGAATTTTAATAACAGTAATAATAACAACAATGATTACAAGAATTCCTCACATCTACAGCAGCGCTCCATCATTCTCCTCATCTGCAGTGGAGGTGTAGTTTATTCACTGGGGTTCTGGATGGCGATCAGCAGGTATTCTTTATCTAGGAGAGTGTGGAGAAGGTGAGGTCTGTCCAGGTGTTTCTCAGGCTCTGTTTGCACCTGGTATTAAGATGCGTTTTTGTTGATCTGATCACAAGTGGACCACGCTAAGTACAAGTGCAAATCAGGTGTGAAACATTTTGAGCTTGTCCACTTTTTACCACTTCCGGAGGTAGTTAAAAAAAACACATTTGATCAGATTGCTGTAACAGTGCGAATGCAAACGTGCTTGAATCCGTTTGAACTGCTGCTAAACACCACCTTCTCTCGGCCTATTGAGTTCATTCATACAGTCTGGTTGGAGAAGCTGATTAAAACTGTCCTTGATAAACTTAGGTTTTGTTTTATAGGAAACCCTGGGCATCAAGACATGTATGTCTTAGTGGTTAGCATTGTTGACTCACAGCAAAAAGGTTCCTGGTTCGAGTCCTGGCTGGGCCAGGTGGCATTTCTGTGAGGAGTTGTTCTCCCCATGTTCGCATGGGCTATAAGTGATTTGGATAAACTAAATTGGCCGAAGTGTATGAGTATGTGCGTGAATGTGAGTGTGTATGGGTGTTTCCCAGTACTGCATAACAGTTGGGAGGGCTTCCGCTGCATAAAAACTATGCTGGAATAGTTGGCGGTTCATTCTGCTGTGGCAACCCCTGATAAATAAGGGACTAAGCCGAATTAAAATAAATTAATGAATAAACTCTTGCCATGCAAACCATTGCCCAGTCATTTTCTTATGGTGGAGTCATGAACACTCACCTTAACTAAAGCAAGTGAGGCCTGCAGTTCTTTGGATGTTGTTGTGGGGTCTTTTGTGACCTCTGCTGCATTCTTGGGGTCATTTCTACTTTTGGTCAACCTCTACTTCCGATCTTCAAAAATATTTGTTAAACGGATATTATAAACACGACACCATACATAGCCTACAAATCAAAATTGTAAAACAGAAAAAAATTGTCTAGGCCTAATAGGAGTTGATCGGAAATTAAATAAATCAATTATCTAAAATTTCATCAGTCAATGGATAAAGTATTATAACATATTTATAAAGCTTTTTATTTGTTCTGGTAGGCTACTTTTTAACAAGACTTTTTTGTAAATTATGAAAACTGAGCTGGCCTTCACAGTAGACATGGGCCGGTGTAAGTTTCTGACAGTATGATAACTTTGGTGTTATGTATTTTTTTATATTGTTTTATTAAAACAATATTAACAAAAAAAGTTATTTATTTGAAGTTAGTGAGTTTTTCTTTGTGTTGTTGTATATGTCTCTTTTTGTAGTTGTTCTTTTCTCTCTGCCTCTCTCCGCTGTCTTTCTGACAGGGTTCATTATGAGCGCACAGGTGTGGTGAATCAGGTGTTAAAACTTGGAAACTTGCCGGTGTGTTGGTGAAGTCCATAAACTAGACTGGAAGATCGTTTGAAGAATTCCCTTTCTCCCGGCTTGTTTTGTTTATTTGTGAGAACTTTTTTTGTGTTTGCTCGGCGATATTGTTGAGTTTAATTGAAGAGCTTAGACTCACCCAGAGGTGATAATCAATAGAACGTTCCATTGCAATAGAAGCGCCCAGCAACAGCTCCAGATTCCGCCATTTTGGAGTGAAAGCGATCGGCTGTCCATTGGATCTTATTAGTGTCACAATGGCAAGCAACCTCTTTGTTTTTTTATTTATTTATTTAAAAATCTTTATAAGCTTTTTAATTTAAGCTGGGATACAACCAGAAAGACGACAATACAACACTTACTATCACAATCATTAGCACTTTTAAGTTTTTTTTACAGACTTAAATTATGCTGTTGTTCTATTGGAATTTTCATTCCAAAACTGCCGCCGCGTGACACTAGCGGCATCTAGTGGCTTTTTTCAAGATCGCACTAGAATGTCGCCTTTTGGTGTTTCTATGCTCTTTGGTTTAAGAGTGTTGACTTAATTTATTGAGATCAATGTAATTGTACGAAGATGCATGTGATGAGGAGGGTTTTTTTTTTGTCTTTAATAGGGAGGTAAGTGAATGTTGTTTATTTATGTGCTGGTAAAAGGGTTTAAAACTTTAAGTTGAGTTTTTGTTTGTTATTTAGGCTTTTCCTCCGCAAGATTTTTTATGTCTCCTTTAAAGTTAAATGTCAAATAAATTTGACTTTACGTTATTTATTTGTTCAATCGTCTCTGTTGTTGTTTTCTTTCAAATACGAGATGAGACTCCGGGCTCCTCAGTTATTTTCAGAGGTGTCTGTAATTTAATTTATTAATACAGGTCTGGCTTGCTTTGTGGAGCATTAGTTTCAAAAACACAGACTTTTTTTCAATACATAGAAAACACATAAAAAACTTTACGTATACCTTAGGAACAGTATATCTTATATATTTTTTTGCAGTTTTAACACCTTGACTTTTCCAAACCACAGTAAACCTTCAAAACTGGTTTTTGTCCCATGCCTATTTCACAATTTGATGGATCAGAAAAACTCAACACCTTTACTCATTAGAGAAGTGGCTGAAAATGGACAAGACAATTAATTTCCTGAAAAATAGGGATGCACCGATTCCATTTTTTTGGATCCGATCCCGATACCAAAATTCTGACTACATTTACATTTAGTCATTTAGCACAATGGTTCTCAAAGTGGGGGTCGGGACCCCCCGAGGGGTCGCGGGACAATGAAAGGGGGTCGCCTGGTGATTTCCAAAAATCTATTTATTTTTACTAAACCATAAGAATTACCATATTTTATCCATAACCTTCTGAAGAGAAAAAAAAATAGTCGTTTATACCATATATAGTTACTATAGTAGCTTATAGTTACTTCTATTGGATTACAACCCCTGGGGTACATCGTATTAAAGACACAGCAATAACTTTGGTTAAACTCACGGTTAAACTTTGTGGCCCATTTCCAGCTCTCATACATAAAAAAAATTAAAAGAAGACTGAATGGACTTGGGTCCATTGGTGTGTGTGCGCCATTGCATGCAAGGTTTCTGTATTTATAACCACCTCAGAGTATATTGAGGGTCGCGACTCACTGGCATTGCCATTTTGGGGGTCGCGGCCTGAAAAGTTTGGGAACCCCTGATTTAGCAGACGCTTTTATCCAAAGCGACTTACAAATGAGGACAAGGAAGCAATTTACACAACCAAGAGCAACAATGAATAAGTGCTATAAGCAAGTTTCAGGTCTGTAAAGTCTAAGAAGGTAAGTATTAGTAGTATTAGTATTTTTTTTTTTTTTTTGGTACAGTTAGTGTGATATTCAGAGAGGCAATTACAGATTAGGAAGTGTAGTGGAGACTAAATAGTTGAGTTTTTAGTCGTTTCTTGAAAGTAGCGAGTGACTCTGCTGTTCTGATGCAGTTAGGGAGTTCATTCCACCAACTGGGCAGATTGAGCGTGAGCGTTCGCGAAAGTGATTTCTTCCCCCTTTGGGATGGAACCACGAGGCGACGTTCATTCACAGAACGCAAGTTTCTGGAGGGCACATAGATCTGCAGAAGCGAGAGCAGATAAGAAGGAGCAAGGCCCGAAGTAACTTTGTAGGCAAACATCAGAGCTTTGAATTTGATGCGAGCAGCAACTGGCAGCCAGTGCAAACGGACTAGCAGTGGAGTGACATGTGCTCGTTTAGGTTCATTGAAGACAACTCGTGCTGCTGCATTCTGGAGCAGTTGAAGAGGCTTGATAGAGTTAGCTGGAAGCCCAGCTAGTAGAGAGTTACAGTAATCCAGTTTGGAGAGAACAAGAGCTTGAACAAGGAGTTGAGCTGCATGTTCAGGTAAGAAGGGTCGGATCTTTCTGATGTTATAGAGTGTGAATCTGCACGATCGAGCAGTTCTAGAGATGTGGTCAGAGAAGTTTAGTTGGTCATCAATCGTTACTCCAAGGCTTTTCACCATTTTGGATGCAGTAATGGTTGCCCCGTCCATCTGGATTGAAAAGTTATGGTGTAGAGTCGAGTTGGCAGAAACTACAAGCATTTCCGTTTTTTGCGAGGTTCAGCTGAAGATGATGATCTTTCATCCAGTGTGAAATATCCAACAGGCAGGCTGAGATGCGAGCTGGAACCGAGGGATCATCAGGATGAAAAGAGAGGTATAGCTGGGTATCATCAGCATAGCAGTGGTAGGAGAATCCATGTCTCTGGATGACTGGTCCTAGAGATGATGTGTAGATGGAGAAGAGAAGTGGCCCAAGAACAGAGCCTTGAGGTACCCCAGTGTTTAGATGCTGTAGGTTGGACACCTCACCCCTCCAAGACACCCTGAATGACCTGTCAGTGAGGTAAGATCTGAACCATTGTATAACAGTGCCCGCAACGCCCAGTGACTCGAGCGTAGAAAGCAGGATCTGGTGGTTGACAGTGTCAAAAGCAGCTGACAAGTCCAGCAAAATGAGGACTGATGATTTAGAGTCTGCTTTAGCCAGTCTGAGATCCTCCACGACCGAGAGCAGGGCAGTCTCAGTTGAGTGGCCTTTCTTAAAGCCGGATTGCTTGTTGTCCATGAGATTGTTTTGAGTAAGAAAGTCCAGGACTTGATTGAACACTACTTTCTCCAGAATCTTGGCCATGAATGGAAGCAGGGATACTGGTCTGTAGTTTTCAAGTAGCGTATGGTCCAGGTTGGGTTTCTTTAGCAGTGGGGTAACCCTAGCCTGCTTAAATGAAGTGGGGAATAAACCAGAGTCAAGAGATGTGTTAATTATGTGAGTCAGTGTTGGTATGACTGCAGGAGAGATGGCTTGCAAGAGATGAGAGGGAATGGGATCGAGTGGACAGGTGGTTGCATGGCTAGATAGCACCAGTTTGGACACCTCAGACTCAGAGAGCTGAGAAAAAGAGGTGAGTGTGTGTGGTGTTGGTGGTGTACCTTGCGTGTTTGTTGTAGGTGCAGCAAATTGAGCACTGATTTTTGCAGTTTTGGTGCAAAAGAATGTAGCAAAGTCATCAGTAGTAAGTGTGGAGGATGCGGGTGGAGGAGGAGGATAGAGGAGGGAGGAAAGTGTTTTAAAAAGTAGGCGAGGATTAGTGGCATTGTTGATTTTCAGACTGTAATATGTCTGCTTTGCCGAAGTAACCTCAGCTGAGAAAGAGGACAGAAGAGTTTGGTATGTTAAGAGCTGTGCAGGATTTTTAGTTTTCCGCCAAATTCTTTCTGCAGCTCGAAGTTTTGAGCGATGCTCACGGAGAGCATCCGAGAGCCAGGGTGCAGGAGGACTGGCACGGGCTGGCCTGGATGCAAGAGGACATAATTGGTCTAGACATGATGCTAGTGTGGAGCAGAGTGTATCAGTGGCACTGTTCGAATCAAGTGCAGAGAGTTTGCAAGATGGAGGAAGAGAGTCTGAAACAATGGTGGATAGTCTATTGGGTGAGAGAGATCGTAGGTTTCTGCGAAAGGTAACCAGTGTTGGAGTGTGTGGCGGCTCAGGAGTAATGTGGATGTTGAGAAACAGAAGGAAATGATCCGATATTTGTTGTGGAGTTACTATTGTTTGATCAGCGAAGCAGTGTCGTGTGTAAATAAGGTCTAGCTGATTACCTGATTTGTGGGTAGCAGAGGTAGGTGCTCTTTTTAGGTCAAAAGAGGCAAGCAGAGTCTGAAAGTCTGCAGCTTGCGGTTTGTCAACGTAAATGTTGAAGTCACCTAGCACCAACAAGGGAGTGTCAATATTAGAAAAAGATGAGAGAAGAACATCCAGTTCATCTAAGAAGTGACCTAATTTACCTGGTGGGCGGTAGATGACAACCACATTTATGTAGAAGGGGTGGATAATGGTGACTGCATGGAATTCAAAGGAGCTGATTGTTGGCAGGGACGGTATCAGAGTAAATTTCCATTCTTTGGAAATTAGTAGTCCAGTCCCACCCCCTCTCCCTGTGTGACGAGGAGTGTGGGAAAAAGAGAAATTAGCAGAAAGAGTAGCATGTGTAGCAGTGTCCTCCGGCCTCAACCAGGTCTCAGTTAGAGCCATGAGATTATAGTCAGAATATGTAGCTATGGAGGTAATAAAATCTGCCTTGTTAACAGCTGATTGACAGTTCCAGAGGCCCACGGAGAGAGAGAGTTGTGAAATAGCAGATACATTTATTGAACGAAGGTTGTGAGGATTACGCCTGCAGCGTACCTTCCGTGTTTTGCGAGTGTTAGTAACAACAGGAATTAGAAAACACATAATAAAAGTGCACTGACAACAAAAGATAAAGTAAAAAAAAAGAAAGTAAAGTACTCAAGTGCTTTGTCGGTGTCTTTGCTCGGTGGAGTCGCGCAGGTAGAGTCGATGGTCTTTACACTCGTCGGTCTTCACACGAGGCTGCCGCGACCGCTGCCGCGGTGAACTAGTTGTTTATATAACCCCAAAGCACTAACGTTAGCTGATTGAATTCAGCTGGACACGCCTCGAGAGTCAAAACAAGGGCCGAAACTGAGGCGGACGACGCGAAACCGTCCGCGTTCGCTACACAAGCTCTTATAGTAACCAAGGAAACAGTGGCTAAACACTTGTAGTATTATACACAACTGAAAGCAAGTTTAAATGTCCTACAACTTTACACAAACAGCTGAAAACAAGTCCTCAAACCATACACAAAAACTGAAACAAGTCTTAAATGTACTTACAGGCTGCTGGTCTCAATGTTAAAGTGCTTCTCCTGCCGACTAAGCTAGCGTGCTCACTATATAGTGGTTACCAGGCGTTTGGACACGCCTCCCGAGTCAAAACAAGGGCCGAAACTGAGGCGGACGACGCGAAACCGTCCACGTTCGCTACACAAGCTCTTATAGTAACCAAGGAAACAGTGGCTAAACACTTGTAGTATTATACACAACTGAAAGCAAGTTTAAATGTCCTACAACTTTACACAAACAGCTGAAAACAAGTTCTCAAACCATACACAACAACTGAAACAAGTCTTAAATGTACTTACAGGCTGCTGGTCTCGATGTTAAAGTGCTTCTCCTGCCGACTAAGCTAGCGTGCTCACTTTATAGTGGTTACCTGGCGTTTGGACACGCCTCCCGAGTCAAAACAAGGGCCGAAACTGAGGCGGACGACGCGAAACCTTCCGCGTTCGCTACACAAGCTCTTATAGTAACAATTTAGTGACTAGCAATCGATACAGATCTGATCCCGATACTGTGCCCCTTTTTTTTTTTTTAAACCTAATACGGTTTCTATATTTCTGGTGCTCAAATAATATATCTTCTCTAGAAAAAAAAAAAAACAGACCTATGGCCTACATTATATGACAGACGACACAATCTAACTAAAAACATGATGCTTGCTATAAACTATAGGCTAAATTATTTGAGCATTCATTATGACATTGATCTGATCTGTTGTGTTCCAGCTTATGTGTTATTTTTTAGTATTAGGATTTTTCTTTGAAATCTGTACTAGGCTACCACTATTGACCCTAATCGTTGATAAAATAACCTGCCTTTTAGCAAAGCCTGATATTTCCCTGCAGTTTTGAAGCAGACTAAACTAAATTGTCTGAGTTTTACTTAATAAACATTCCTTCGCCTGAACCCGCAGCGAGTGAGATGGAGAAACTGAAAGCATTTTTTTTTTAAACTAATTTCCTTTGGTATAATTTGTTAGTTATTTAATGTATTTTGTTGGTCGGTTGTCCACAAAATAAACAAAAAGATTTAAGGTGAAGTTCAAAAAAAGGTCAGCTTATATGCTTCAGTGCACAAACTGACAAATAATCTGTTAAATAAAATATTAATATTTATATATATTTTGGCGAGTCATCTAATTCCCTGTCACCGTGGTCCGTAATGTACAGCAGCTCCACAATCCTCAAGCCCAATCAGCCACATCGGTCGCTCATGAAAAGAGAGAGATATAAACCGCAGGAGAGGACAAGCGAGTCAGTGCATTCTGACAAGAAACCTCCATGCTAACTATTCTCTACCTCACAGAATCAAGTGGCTGATTCGAGCTCACCCCCACTGCTACCCCTTCACGGACTCAAGAACATCACAATAATCAACACCACCACCAAAACACGACACTTTCTGGGACTGTAGGAAGCACAATGGAGACCGCACTTTCTCACATACACACTGGATTTCACTTGTAAATAAACACCCCTCCGCGGCTTTCACTTGTTACATCCGTGTGTGTGTATATTTTCACCCTTTGTCTCGCCAAAATATATATAAAATAACAGTCAAATATTCAAAGTTTCAGAGTAGCCTATATTGGGATAAATAATTTTCTGTTACTGACCATCCATATTGCACCCGTCAGTTTCAAGCCAGGCTTTACAAACTATTAGCAGCACTTAACATTTTCACATCAAAAGAATAAACTCAGCCGGAAGGATGAGAGAATGGAAACTTTTTATAAGAATAATTTTACGGAGCGGCGCACATCGTTTCTGCGCAGCCGGTGTGCTTGATGAAGCATTTGATGCATTACAAGACACAGCATGCAGCCCACCGGTATCTGCAGACACTTTCAAAACAGCAGCACAAAGAGAAGAAACCAGGGCAATGAGGATCTGTCCAATGTATTATTAAGCCTTTTCTCATTTAAACTTTTAGGTAGGCCTACTTTGTGTGTGAAGAGCAGGTAATAACCCTCTCCACTCCAGTGTTACGATGTGATCTGCTGGTCTAACAGACACAGCACAACATGACGTAGAAACAGCAACAAACTCCATGTTACGGGTCAAAGTGAACCCATTTATTGCAGAAATAAATGCATTTCTCCACTGATTATTAAAACTAACAGGAACAAATAGTCTTGGAGAGTTTTTCGAGTTGTCATGAACGCGACATGCAGTTTGAATAGTGAATGAATGAAGAATTATTGACAAGCGCAGCGGCGGGAAGTGCTAAAGTGAACATGAATTTATTTCATTTTATTAAATATTAATCTTTACTTCACATTAAACAATATAACGCCTTCAGAACATTTGGGATATAGTAGGCGTACATGACAACTTTCCAGTGCCTTGTAATAGGCTACCTTCATGGCTTTTGTTGGCTTATAAATTACACAGAATATAGCGCAGGCGCAAGATCAGATTTGGATCGGTGCGAGCTGGCCGATACCCGATCCAGCAAAAATACATCGTATCAAACCGATATCCAATCCAAGTATCGGGATCGGTGCATCCCTACCTAAAACCACACTATATCTTTATAAATGACATTGTGCATTTCTGAGTATGCCTCACACAGGTGAGTGGACTTGACAAACCACCTGCAGAAACCCTCTCTCTCCTTATGCACTGTACACATTTTCTTAAACTCCACACACAACATTTCGAACCACTGTATGTCCACACAAATAGCAGAATGACAATAAAACTCAACTAGACTTGACTTGAAAACAAACACATTTAAACACTAGGTGTGAATGGTAGTGTGTCTCTTTTGTCCACTTGTGATCGGCAAAAATGCATCCTAATAGCAGGTGCGAACAGGGCCTCAGGCTGTGATAAAAACTGCTCTCACTCACCTGGAGCCACCATGATCTCGTGTTTCTTGGATCTGATGCGCAGGAATGTGAGCTCGTTCTGCGGGTCGATGTCTCGAACTGCACTCCTGGCCTTCATGGTGAGCTGATGCAGCAGACCTGCATACTGAACTGACGTTGAGTTGTCCAGCGTCGTTCTAATGGGAATGCCTGGAAATAAAGTGGGAAACAGGGCTCGAAATTAACCCTTTTGATTGGTTGCACAATTGCTCCTAACTTGAAAAATTTAGGCGCATCAGTCAAAAGCACCTTTACTACACGTTTTATACAAACATATTTATTGCATTTGAAATCAGCACTAATCAAACTTCCAAGCAATATATATATATATATATATATATATATATATATATATATATATATATATATATATATATATATATATATATATATGTATATATATGCAAGAGTGAGGAAAATCTGTCTCAACAAAATCCTGTTATCACAAGAAAATAGATTTTTATAACATAACTGAGTGATCAAAAGGTACACGGAGCGCTCACCGGCCCTGCACACACTGCTTGACATAAATGAATCTGTTAACAAAAACTGTGCCGTTCTCACGGCTGTTGTCTGACATTGCACTGATGCTTTTGACATATACTGTGCCTATATTAAGTCATGTTAATAGAAATACCGGTCTCTTATGAGTAGCGATATTAGTTTACTCCATGCAAGCCCGTTTGAGATGGTGTATGTGGTGTTAAATTTCACATATAGCTGCCACATACATGGCGGACAGCATCTGGCGATTATATGAGGGAACAAAAACAGAAGCTCTCGTGCTAGATGTGGCAAACAGTTACCTGAAGATTTCATCCCACAGACTTTTCATAGCGGACTTGAAGCCAATGGAAGTCTTTTATCCACTCTTTGAAAAGTGTAGATGGTGGGTTAACATTTAGCACATGATCACTTGTAAGATGTGTCATTATTTGTAACTTTAGATGCCATGGTTTCTAAAACAAAATCTGTCAGTGTTATCTTCATTCTCATCCTCAGCGCTTTACAATTGTACGTGGTTGTAGCTCTCCCTGTCATCCCAAGCTAGAAGGCATTGACTGAGTGATTGACAGTTGATATTGACCAATCCATTCGCGTTCAGTTCCAAAGCAGTAGTGGGTCATTAAAAAAAGAGTGAAGCTGGGGCAAGTATTACGGACTTGGCTTTGTTTACTGCAGCAAGTTAAGATGACAACTGTTTTAAACCATTCCTGACCCCTGCGTTTCTCGTTTTAAGTGCGGAGATGCATTCTGCGTGAATGTCTTCCGAATCCACGCATGTGGTGAACATTTTGCAGTAAAACTAGTCGCACACAACAATTTTATGCACTCGCGCAGATGCTCCCAAATATATTTTGAGATTGCATAGATAAAATTTCAGGCGCATATGCAACCAAAATGGTCGCAATTTCGAGCCCTGGGAAAACATCTGCTCATATATAACACATACTGTGTGTGTTAAAAAGACACCATTTATTGATCTTAATGAAACTTTATAGCAGTAATACTGTAAATTTTTCAATTCAAGTAAATTAGAGTAGATTAAATGTATATTGTTATAATATTGTATATAAAAATTAAATATAGAAAAAATTAAACAAACCTATATAATTGTTAAATATTATTATTATTATAAAATGGTAAGATTTATTCATAAATTTTATTTCGGCTTAGTCATTTTATTAATCTGGGGTTGCCACAGCGAAATGAACCTCCAACTTATCCAGCATATGTTTTATGCAGTGGATGCCTTTCCAGCTGCAACCCATCTCTGGGAAACATCCATACACTTTCATTCACACTCATACACTACGGACAATTTAGCTTACCCAATTCATTTATTTCATATGTCTTTGGACTTGTGGGGAAAACCGGAGCACCCAGAGGAAACCCGAGTGAACACGGGGAGAACATGCACACTTCAAACAGAAATGCCAACTGAACCAGCCAAGGATCAAACCAGCAACCTTCTTGCTGTGAGGCAATTGTGCTACCCACTGTGCCACCATGACTCCCTTGTAATATTTAATAATATTTAACACAATATTAATTATACAGGCACAATGACAATAACAGCAATTTGTACTTTTTTGTACTTTATATATTTATAATTTTGTAGTTTATATATTTTTAAAATGTATCATTTATTTTTTGCAACAGAAACAACAAGTTTACATTAGATTTATTTTTCTTTCTGAAACCACCAGTTTGTCTTCCTCTCCATTTGTGACAATTCTTTTATATTAAAGTTATTACTTTATAATAAGAGATATAATAATTACTTAAATCTAACAATGCTATTCAATTGCTATGATTTATATTTTATTTATATACAATTTAGCCTACCCAATTCACCTGTACCGCATGTCTTTAGACTGTAGGGGAAGCCGGAGCACCCGGAGGAAACCCAAGCGAACGCAGGGAGCAGGGCCGGAGTGGGATTCCTTTTCAGCCCTGGAGTTTCAAGCCTCAGACCAGCCCACCTCAGTTCACGACTGACTATATTAAAATAAGGTCATTTCCAAATCAGTTTCTAATGACACTATCACATCTTTTTTTGAGAAAACAGCTGCTTTAGAACTTCAAATGTTCAACAACCCTAACAGTATTATATGTCTTAACAATAAAAATGAAAACAATAAGTTACTCTAACGAGGATCGAACCCGGGTCCGCGGCGTCTTTTTCTAACGTGCTAACCGCTGGACAAAGGCTGTGGTCAAGTAAATAAATAAATTTGAAAAGTGTGACTGCTGAGAGCAACAGATTCTGCAGCTTGGGACACCGGCCCTCGCGGCCAAAAAACGGACCGGCCCACCGGGAATTCTCCCGGTCCTCCCGATTAGCCAATCCGGGCCTGGCAGGGAGAACATGCAAACTTCACACAGAAACGCCAACTGACCCAGCCGAGGTTTAACCTGCGACCTAGCGACCTTCTTGCTGTGAGGCGACAGCACCAACTGCACCACTGCATCACCATTATTATTTTTATAAAATAATAATAATAAAATCTGAACATTAATAACTCTATTATTGTTGTTATTCATATTAATACTACTTCTATCACTACTACTACTAATAGTAATGCAATACTTATAATTTTTTTATTATTATAGAAATATAGAAAGAAAATTAATTAAAGCAATATTAATTTTTTTATTGATTATAATTATAGATTGAATAATATAAATATTAGAATAGCAGATTATCCTATGAGTCCTACAGTGTATCCTTATATTATATTATATTATATTATATTATATTATATTATATTATATTATATTATATTATAATAATATTCTTCATTCTTTTTCTTGTCGGCTTAGTCCCTTTATAAATCCGGGGTTGCAACAGCGGAATGGACCGCCAACTTATCCAGCACGTTTTTACGCAGTGGATGCCCTTCCAGCTGCAACCCATCTTTGGGAAAGTATTATATTATATTATATTATTATATTATATTATATTATATTATATTATATTATATTGCATTATATATTGTATTATATTATATTATATATACCAGCTTAACATATGTAACGTTAGAGCTGTGGAGAATATTACAGTTAATTTACTACTGTAACGTTAAATGCTTAACGTACCTTCTCCGTTAACCACTATTGTCCCAATAACACCATGTTGGGCCTGAATCCTCTTTAAAGTGTCTTCGACTTCAGCCTGGACAAATAAGAGTACAGTATAAATGAAGAAAACCGCCATTATTCATTATTATTGAAAGCTAAACTCGAAGAAAAAAACATAAAGTTTACCATGTCGCTCAGATCAGGTGTACTTCTTCCGCCGTGTGTCCTTGTTGCTGTGGAAACGAAAGTAAATGAAGTGGTAACATGATCATCGTGAAGTCCTTCGTTTTTAACTTGCTTATATATTTTTTTGTATATATTATATTATTTTTGTTAAACTTTCTGAGCAAATTGACAGTCAGGAAAATGACATTAGCATGCAGCTAAATCTTTTTAGTACTTTTCTCCGCGAAGATCAAAACAGACCATAGACTGTAAAATAGAGTAACAGACCAACAGTCTTTTGTAGTTAAACAATATTTAATTGTCGTACAAGTAATGTTTAGTGATATGTTTATTACTAAATAATGTTTGTAATATGTTTATGTGTTTTAAAATAAAGCAAAATAACAATTTAATACACAAACTTGAAAAATAAAAATAAAACAAATGTATTTATCTTGAATTAGCCTTTAGCACTCTATACGTAAAGGTAATTAAAATTGATTATACATTATTTTACCATGACTGATTATAGAAAATAATGTAATAATAAACATTTAAAACTTATTTGTCATCTATTTTCAATTGTATTAAATTTATTATGAAAAACTGTCCTATTTATCACAGCATTTTACTGAATAAATCTTGCATTACGGTTTATTTCACGCACACAAACTCCCTCAGTAGTATCTAACCTAATATCTAACCAGCAGATGTCGCTATCATGCGGGTACTTGGTATTTCGCTTTCGAAACCAAAAATCACCTGCACAATATTCTTTTATTTTATAGTCTTATTTCATCATTTGAATGTAGCCTTAACTTAAATGCAAACACAAATGTACAAACAGAAATGCGCATTATTGCTAACACTGACGTCAAAACGCGATGTCGTCACGGGGAGACTTGTGTCACGTAACTGACGCAGACGCCAGAGGAGCGGAGTGCAGGTGACAGCAGCTGTTGTTGTGCGGTGATGATGTAATGCTGCTCCGGATGGCGGTGTGCGCCAGGCTCTGTGGAGTGGGGCAGTCCCGGAGGTGCAGGCGGCGGCAGCGGCACAGCCAGGCGGACCAGGACAGCGACTCCGACATGGAGATGGAGGAGGGGGAGGAAGAAGAGAGGGTGGTGGGCAAAGCGAAAGATGAGCCTGACGGCAGCGGTATCGGCGGCGGCTGTCATAGTAGCTGCGGCGCAGGGCCTAGTGGAGCCGGTTCCGGAGCCTCGGCCTCGGGCTCCGCAGGGCCGCCACACCCGCAGTCTCTGCTCGATCTGCCGCCCGAGCTGCTCGTGGAGATATTTGCGTCTCTGCCCGGCATCGCGCTGCCCAACCTGGCGCTGGTGTGCAAGAAATTCAGGCAGATCCTGAACACGGAAACCATCTGGAGGAGGAGATGCACTGAGGGTAATAGCGACGAGTACATCATTTCGGTTTCATAAAGCGACTTTCTGCTTTATAGATCATATTGTGGGTGAAGTTGGTTTAATAGCTATTAGGATTTTCTCCCTAATAATATAACATTACTTTAAGAAAAGAATAATTTGCTAATTTTAAATAGGGAAATAAAATTAGCAGCCAATGAATATTAAAGTACAATATGGTCACAGGCAATTAAAATAGTGCTCCTTTTTTAAGTCATACTTAAATGCGATTTAGACCCAATTTGAGTGTTGTAAACAGTGCAAGGAGCGTAAAATGAACAAATGTAAAACCAACTTTACCTCAATTAGACCACGTTCATTGCGAGTCGTGCTGTTATCATAAAGATACCGTTCATACACGACGATCCATTAGCATAAACTCAGACAGGCACACACACACACACACAGAGCTCATAAACATACACACACGTGTTGGTTTCTGTGGTTTTCGCGGACTGTCTATAGGCTTAACGCTTTTTATATAGTAAAATCACTTATTACATGGGGTCAAAATTCCCATAAACCTTTACAGTAAACCTGTGGCAAAAATTGAATGTGAAAAGCATGTTTTGGGGTCATAAACCACCCCAATGTTGTAATAGCTTGGTCATAACCAGGGCCAGATAGAATCTGCAAACACTTTTTGCTATTTTTGCACAGAATTTTGTAAAAAATCAGAGAATTTATGCAGAATGATTTTGGGACTATCATAAATAAAAACGTAATACAACAAAATAATAATAATAATAATACCTTATTAACTTGTATTTAATGTTTTCAATTAGGGTTGGGTTGATAGACGATGGCCGATAGACATCACGATGCTGAGCCAGTATCACGATCCTCCGCCTGCCCGCCCTGCCATCTCCGGGCACTATACCGCTGAAAACACACATCATGTGACCACACACACACTCTGGCATGAACTGCAGTGTTTGCGCACGTTTGAACTCCAGCAGTCAGCGGGTGCTTTGAACACAAAACATCAGAGAGCAGTGCATGTCGGACACTTTATTAAGAATGTACCACTCGTGTCTCATTATAGTTGTTAAAGGTGATATTTAATTAATCTTGTCTCTATCTAACGATTCTTCAGTCTTTTGAATCTATCAGGTAACGTGTCACAGCGGCAGTACACTGCTTCAATTATTCACTTTCACGTTTGTACTTAGTAATTTTAGCGAAAACCTCAGATACAGTTGGTTGGTTCCTGTTGGTTGTGCACCTTTTTTACCATCTATGTATGTATGTCAACGCCATTATAACAACACAGATCACTCTGCCTGTTCATGCCAGAGTCTTGCGGAAAAACTGATTGACGGGTGGTGATCTGTGTGTAACTTATCTTTATTTATTTCTGATTTGGTTATGTGTAAAACTAAGACCATGCAGGTCAGGTAGTTAAAACGGTAGATTACAAATAAATAATTTGTCATTAATTAATAATTAATGAATAAATAATTCACCGCTGCCTATGATGACAATGTCATCGCGATGTTTCACATTAGACATCGTACGGCCAAATTGGTCGACATCGCCCAACCCTGTTTTCAGTGCAAATCCAATTAGATCCACTTAGTTGGTAAACAAAGCAAGTCTCTCATATAAAACATCTACTAAAAGATACAAAAAAAAAATAACTTTACAAGCTGTATTGTACATAAATTATGTAAACATTTTTATATTAGTCAACAATATTACTGAAATTAGTATAAAATCCTAATAAACTTAACAAACAGTTACGTAACTAGATAAATGATGGGATAAAAATCTGCAGATTTCTGCATGTGCAGATTCCGTGTGGCCCTAGTCATAACCATGTCATTACACAAATTCAATTTTGTGTCCTCATAAATCACATAAACAATTACACACACGGTCGTTGCTATTATTAGTGCTAGTGCTAGTAGTATGCGTCAGTGTTAATTATATTAAAAAACTTACTGATTCAGACAGATATTAGCTTAGATATAACTGTAATAAACATTTATTTAACACACATTACTTGTGATTATGTGGTGTTGTAACCCAGACATATATAACTATTAAATACTGTGAAAAAAAGAAATGCTGCTTAATATCATATTGTTTAAAAATGATAATGAAATCTACAATTATTACAATTTAATTTCAGAAAAATTGGTTGTATAATATTATGAAAAATATATATTTTTATAGATGCGATCAACTGTAAAGCAATGACATTTTCACCCTTGTGACTGAAACGTCTTTTTATTATATAATTTGACCTTTTTACACAATGGTTGAGTTGAAAACATTTACAAATACTTATTTATAGGATCATATAATGCTGTTAAATTGTGTGTGGGAAATCATATAAATTAAAAAGAAAGAAAAAGAATGCATTTTAGACCAGCATTATCACTTTTTTTTGAGAAGATCCCCTCAGAAATTTTAATTAATTAAATATTAATATTAGAAGAAATAATAATGTAATAAATTAAATTATTCTATAGATTCATGTAAAATGGTAATATTTGTATGATAGCGGGTAACATTTTTTTCAAATAAAAATATTTGAGGCATTTATAATTATGATAAAGACAGTATAGCTGAGCAGCTCTTGAGTCGTTTCAAATTCATCGGTAAAATTAGATTTGACTTGTCTTCCTGACACTGTGTGAATGTTTTTATTCATGCTTGGTACGTTGGTTTACAGTTTTGTGCACATTTTTTTCTTTACAAATATCGTAATAATGATACAGACTTTTTACAAATTGGTACATAAGTCAAGGCCAAAATCATTAGTGAAACACCTGATAGCATATTTAAATGTGTGAATAAAATGTAAATTGCCACCACTGGTCTTATCTCAGTTCTACCAGTTTTCACAGAACCATTTGTTAGTTTGTAAGACCTCTGCAGTTCACTGTAACAGAATAAAGCAGGGCTCCATTTCCCAAAAGCACCGTAAAGCTAAGAAGATTGAAAAAATTATTGTGCGACTAATCGGATATTAGGCATGGACATATATATTGCGATCGTGATTTTCGAAAGTATTAAATCGCTTTGTAAGCGTTTATTATTACCATTTCATGAGTCTCCCCATTCAGTTGAGCGCTTGGACCTGGAAGCTGCTTCGTCACACTTAACAAGCGGATTCAAGTGAAGTCCCATACAGGAATTTGATATATGGCAATATATGAACATGTAAAACTGTAGCTAATATATTTAAACATTAAACCTATATTTGTAGTTCTAGTAGTTGAAAAAAAATGTAAATTGTAAATTTTTTCAATATTTTGAAATATACGTTGCATACTTGACATATTTTATATACAGTCGGTACAGAAAGTATTCAGACCCCTTTATATTTTTCACTCTGTTGTATTGCAGTCATTTGATTAAATCATTTAAGCTCATTTTTTTCCTCATTAATGTACACACAGCACCTCATATTGACAGAAAAACATTTTTGCAGATTTTTTTAAAAGCAGAACTGAAATATCACATGTTCCCAAGTGTTCAGACCCTTTTGCTCAATATTTAGTTGAAGCACCCCTTTAGATGCAACAAGTTTTTTTACACCTGGATTTGGGGATCGTCTGTCTTTTCTCCTTGCAGATCCTCTCCAGTTCTGTCAGGTTGGATGGTAAACGTTGGTGGACAGCCATTTTCAGGTTTCTCCAGAGGTGCTCAATTAGGTTTAAGTCAGGGCTCTGGCTGGGCCATTCAAGAAGAGACACGTAGTTGTTGTGAAGCCACTCCTTTGTTATTTTAGCTGTGTGCTTAAGGTCATTGTCTTGTTGAAAGATAAACTTTCAGCCCAGTCTGAGGTCCTGAGAACTCTGGAGAAGGTTTCATCGAAGATATCCCTCTACTTGGCCGCATTCACCTTTCCGTTGATTGCAATCAGTTATCCTGTCCCTGCAGCCATGATGAGTAGTGCCTGGTTTTCTACCACTTAGAATTAAGACAAAAAGTTCTATCTTTGTCTTATCAGACCAGAGAATCTTATTTCCCACCATCTTGGAGTCTTTCAGGTGTTTTTTAGCAAACTCCACTGAGGAGACGCTTCGGTCAGGCCACTCTGCCATAAATCCCCAACTTGTGGAGGGCTGCAGTGGTGGTTAACTTTCTGCAACTTTCTCCCATCTTCCAACTGCATCTCTGGAGCTCAACCACAGTAATCTTTGAGTTTGTCTTTACCTCTCTCACCAATGTTCTTCTCCCACGATAGCTGGAAAGCCAGCGTTATGAAGCGTTTAAACGTCTTCCATTTATGTATTAGGGAGGCCACTGTGCTCTTTCTTCCATTTATGTATTAGGAAGGCCACTGTGTTCTTAGGAACCTAAAGTGCAGCAGAAGTTTTTTGTTACCTTGGCCAGATCTGTGCCTTGCGACAATTCTGTCTCTGAGCTCTTCAGGCAGATCCTTTGACCTCATGATTCTCAGTCGCTCTGACATGCATTGTGAGCTGTAAAGTCTTATATAGACAGGTGTGTGGCTTTCCTAATCATGTCTAATCAGTATAATCAAACACAGCTGGACTTCAATGAAGTTGTATAACCATCTCAAGGATGATCAGAAGAAATGGACAGCACTCCATTTCTGACTCCAGGAGGTCACCAAGCTGCAGTGATAATACCTACTTGAAATACTTAATTCTAGAGCTGCACAATTCTGTAGATGTAAAATAAAGGTTAATATGAGTCAGCAATTATTATTGTTTTTTCTCAAACATATGATAAAGTAATAATAATATGTGTAGGTCTACTGGTATCTATAAATAATTCAATTCTACTTATAATAGTTCTGATGTTGAATTATGTTTGAGATATAGGCCTGTGCTTGCAATCTGTCATTGACAACATTATTAGACCATTTTATTCACTGGTAAAATCAACATTATATATGCTAGAGTAGTTATACTGTCACTGTAAACATTTATTTTCATGCACAACTATGTGTTCGCTATGAAAGAAAAAACATATCAAATGCTTGTCGCAATCATAACTGTAAAATGCGATATGATTATTTATTTATTTATCAGTTATTTATTTATTTTATCATTTTCACTGCTAAGTGCTGTTTGTTCTTCGCGCGCGGCTCTCGAACGATCACTCTGTGCCACTAACTGAATGTTATTTACAACTTTATTATCTGTTATTCACAGCCTATGCAAGTTCTGTTCACTAAAGTATACGCGCGCTCGTCTATCATTAAGTAGGGCGAACGCCAGCCCTCTCGGTGGTAACAGCTCATCGTTAACAGCTCACGTTACGTGTGATTTTGTGGCCGCGAATACAGCATTATATGAAGACAAAAATTATATTTTTGGGTGAATCATACCTTATAAATACAGTATGTGACTTTTTAACATCATTTGGAGGTGTCCATGTCACTGAGCAACATATGTGAAACAATGAAAAGACTCGTACAGCTGCCTTTGCTTCTCTCCTAAACTTGAAAATATGATTGGCAGAATCGAAAAAATGCTGGATTAAGATCGTCTAGGGCAGGGGTGTCAAACTTATTTTAGCTCAGGGGCCACATGGAGGAAAATCTATTCCCAAGTGGGCCGGACCTTTAATTATTATAAATATAAGTATTATATATGTACAAAAGTATTATATATATTTATATTATATGTACAATATATATTTATATTATATGTATATATATATGTATATTATATTTATATATTTATATTATATGTATATATAATACATATATAAATATAAATATATATATATATAAATACATATATAAATATGTATTTATATATGTGTATAAATATGTATATAAATATGTATAAAAATAAAAAAATATGTATAAATTATATATAAATACATATATAAATATATTATTTATAATATAAATATATATTATATATAATATAAATATATTATATAAATATATTATATATGTATATATAATTTTATTATATGTACAAAAGTGTAATATATATATATGTGTGTGTGTGTGTGTGTGTGTGTGTGTGTGTGTGTGTGTGTGTGTGTGTGTGTGTGTGTGTGTGTGTGTATATTTTTATTTATTTAAATATATAATGCTATATATATGTTGTGTGTGTACGTGTATACATATATATATGGGATGCTACAATACAGTTAGCCCACGGTTCAATACATACCTTGGTTAGGTTTGGTTCTCATGGCTTGACACGTGTTTTTGTTTTTTGTTTTTTTTTGTTTTTGTCATTCTATAGGCAATAGGAACAGCTAAAAAAATGCGAGAGTGTAGTCTGGAACGCGGATCGAGTGCTTTTATAAAATGACAAAAGCCTGCATCTCCAATTACCGAAAATGGCATCAAATCTTTAGCAATAAACACCCGCACTGCCTTTGTTTTTTTTTGTTTTTTTATGTGTCTCAAGCAACGTGTTGGGTATGTTTGCTTGAAAGATTTAGCAAGGGATTGTTGCTATTTGGAGAACTTTATTACCGTCTCTGCTATCCTGCTATCAGTGATATTTCTGGGTGATGGCTCTGCAGATGTGCAGTCATGGTTATACGTGTAAAACAATGCTTGTGTAAAACAGTTATTTTAGTTTTTTCTTTTATTGGCATTATGCTTACCAGCAAAACCGAAATGTCCTCACACTGCAGATTTGAAAGACGACGGCGCTTCCACGAACTTTTGTCTCACTTCGCTTGTCTGAAGCTCATAGGTCAATTTATTTATGGCAGAAACACCATTAAGCCTCGCTAGATCCTCCTGTATGGGCACGCGTTCGTTATAAAACACTCACAGGACATTAATTTGGACAACTATTCATATATTAAATAGTTCACAAAAAAAATACACAAAGAGAGACCTTCACTTTCACTTCATGCATAGTTTGTGAATGAACAGACTTACATGTTGCCTACTAGTTGCAGACGCGATCATGAGGCGGCTTTTTGCACAGAGTTTGAAGTAATCCATCAAAGAACAGGAGAAAGTGCATAAATTCTCGCGGCCCAACTGCAGGAGAGCTGCCTGAGGCCCCCTAGTGGGTAGCCGCTCACCATTTGAGAATCCCTGCTTTATCAAATTAAATTAACCATTTGCAGTTTTGCCACCCAGTGGACACAATTAGAACAGCAGCTTCTTTTATTGAAAAATTACAACTCCTTTCTATATTTTACAGACTGTATGATCTGGCTTACGGGCCGCACGTTTGACATCCCTGGTCTAGGGGGTCAAATTGAGATCGCAATCTTTTTTTGATTAATCGTGCAGCTCTTCTTAGTACCATGTGATATTTCAGTTTTTCTTTTCTAATAAATCTGCGAAAATCTCAGCAATTCTGTCTTTTTCTGTCAATATGAGGTGCTGTGTGTACTTTGAGCAAAAAATAAACTTAAAGCAAATGGCTGCAATATAACAAAGAGTGAAGGGGTCAGAATACTTTCCGTACCCACAGTATGTGAAATCTTAACATGATTTTTTTATGTACAGTAAGTTGTATATTTTCTGATTTATTCAATTTTACTTTGAAGTGAAACATATCAGGAAGTTAGCTGACGTGGGTATGTAATCTAGATTAAGTGTTTTCTTTAGAGTCTAACTTGGAACTAATGCAATTTTTCTTTTTATCTTCTTTCAGAATTTGGTATGAGAGATGACCTGAGGAAGATGGAGATTGTGGGAATATCGAGCCGAGATTTGTATGTGAAACGTAAGTAAATCTAGTAACCTACTGTACAAATTTCAGTAATTTAAGGTATCGTTCAAAAGTATGGGGTCAAAATGATATTTTCTTTTTTTAAGGGCGATAATTCACCCAAAAATGAAAATTCTGGAATCATTTACCCACATGCCACTTAATCAAAACCTATTTATGTTTCTTTCTTCTGATGAACACAAAAGAAGATATTTAGAAAAATGCTGGTAACTGACACTAATTTAGAAAATTCATAAAAACAGTAAAAACACTTTGCCTAACTGTATTAATCAAATGATTCTGAATAAAATGTATAGTAGTATTCACAAGAAGTACTTGTATTCGTTTGATGGAAACAATGCAATTATAGTTATACACACTTGCCTCTTTTATCTCTAAAACGTTAAAACTAAAATTAGCTTTAATTACACTACCTATATACTATAAACCCCTAACTATACACAAAATTTAAGACAGACTATATAAGGACTTTTACATAAAACATAACAATATTAGGTATTTAAGGTTGAAGAAAACAAATAGTGCAACATGAAGAAAACCTTGTTTTTTATTGAGTGAAAGTCAAATGGAGTTTAAATAAAGTGTCTGGTGCATGTGGAAAGAGAGATTGTTACTACAGGTGGTTTGTCAAGCCCACTTACCTGTGTGAGGCACATTCAGAAATGCACAATGTTTTTCAAGAGATATGAAGTGATTGTAGGAAAATGTAAATTTGGCATTTTATCTAAAGGGAATTACTAATGAGGGCAATAGAAGCAACAACATACATATACTATGAGAATTTTGTGCATATGTGTATATAATAAAAACACAAGCATATTGTATTAAACATAAAGATCAGCATCTCTGCTTTGTTGAGATTTAGGCAATGTAAATATGCAATCTTGTCTGATCATTGCTATTTTCTTGTTATTTACTAATTGACAAAAGCCTTGTCGTCTGTCCAAGTTTTAGGAACAGCAAATGATGTCAAAGAAGTTGACTTCTACTTAATCATTTGGTTTCAGAAGTGGCTTATATGAAAGGCATTATTATTTCATACACGCTTATTTTACCTAAATAAAATATGATCATGCCTTGATTTTTAACGATTTATTTAGGACAGTAAGGTCTGACTTTGCTAAGACAAAAGTCTCATCACTTAACAGAAATTATGTACAGTATAGAATATAAAGTCATGGTGCAGTGGAAAAAGAATTAATATTTTGTATGACTCCCTTGAGCTTGGAGGACTGCATCCATACATCCATGCAATGACTCAAATAAATTGAGTTATTGGCAAAGAAAGCATTCTTGCAGGACTCCCAGAGTTCATCGAGTTTCTTTGGGTTCATCTTCAATGCCTCCTCCTTCATCTTACCCCAGACATGCTCAATAATGTTAATGTCTGGTGACTGGGCTGGCCAATTTTCAAGCACCTTGACCTTCCTTACTTTTAGGAACTTTGATGTGGAGGCCCCATACTTAATGTAACCCCAAACCATGATTTTTCCTTCACCAAACTTGACTGATTTCTGTGAGAATCTTGGGTCCATGTGGGTTCCAGTAGGTCTTCTGCAGTGTTTGTGATGCTTGAGATGCAGTTTAACTGATGATTCGTCAGAAAAATTTACCTTCTGCCACTTTCCAAATGATCAACAAGAAGTCAAGTTATTATTTGTTGCTCTTACAACTGGGATTGACGACAAGACTTCAGGTAGTGTAAATCCTTTTTTTTTTTTTTTGAGTTGATTTGTAGTAATGATCACATTAAAACAAACATGATATACATTGTTTTCCGATCAGATTAAAAATGAATTCAGAATAACACATCTAGATTTCTTGTTTTTCTAATAGCATTTATTTTCAGCTCTGAGATGTTTAGTTTACCTTTATTCCCTAGTTTAACCAATAGCATAATAGCACCTTCAAGGGAGGCTGGTATAGATCACATAGACCCCATCTGATTGGTCAGATTTGTATACGCAACCTACAAATACTGTACAACCTACGCATTCTTAATTAATCATACACTATTGAAAACAGATGTTGCATATGTTATTATTACAATAAAGATAATGTTTCGATGTATTGTGCAGCCCTAGGTTATACTATGATTAAAAGTGACCTTATTCAAGTGCAATAATTCAATCAGAACAATGTCTCTCACTCATATAAACCATACACTCCTTAAAGCATGGACCCGCAATGAACTTTTGAAGGAATAGTTCACCTAAAAGTGAAAATTCTTGACTCACCCTCTACTTGTTCCAAACATGTTTGAGTTTCTTTTTCTGTTGAACACAAAATATAATATTTGGAAGAATTTTGAAAAGCAGTAGTGATTGGCATCCATGGAAGGAATCTTTTTTTTTATTTTAGTGGACTATTCTTTTTATCTCATTATTATTAAAACAATATCACCGAAGGATATGTTCATGTGTTCATATATAACACAAATCAGTAAAAAGATCAGACCAGTGTTTAAGACTCAGGTCATCCCTGGAGCTAGATTTAGAAAACGTAAACATCGATACTTGATTTGCTGTTGGTTGTGGACTGAACAGAGTGTGATGGATAGGTAAATGTCATTTGTGCTTTTCAAACTCAACTGCTGTGTTTGCTAATGTGATGTCACTCCACCTCATTACATATCATTAATCATTTGCATTTTTTATACCTCAGCTCACAAAGGCTGTTTTAGGAGTATTACACTGTTTATTTTTCTCAGTTTTTTTTTTTTTTGGTCGATTGGTTTACCTGTTTAGAGGAACTTCATTGTCATTGTTGGTTCAAACCAAAGAATATTCAGTTGGTGAAAACACAAATGGTTGTTACTTAAAGAGAAAGATTTTCCCAGTACTTAGTGTGGCAGTTTTATGCAAGTTGTCAGAATCTGAATTTTTATTTGCATTGTAACAAATTTACACGAAATTGTCCAAATCAACAATAGTAGCAAAAAGGGATAAGTAATAAATTAATATAAATAAAGGATAAGTAAACATAACAATAATAATATGAACTTACACATACTATATATATATATATATATATATATATATATATATATATATATATATATATATATATAGTTTGCTGGGTACAAGTACATACTTATTTTCAACATACTTTTTTGACAACACTATTGTGTCAGCTGTTGCCCTCTGCTTTTTTCCCTCTTTCACCTGCACACCTCTTCAGGTGTGAACCCACAGGTGAAGTCAGGACGCTTTATGAAGCTCCTCCCCGATTATGAGCATATGGACTATCGGGACGTGTACACTAGGCTTGGGCGATATTACGGTATTATGGTATACCGCGGGATCTAAAAATAGCAACGGTGTCAGTTTCAATACCGTTATACCGTCATAAAGTATTAAATATCCTTTATTTAATGCCTAAAAAACGTGTGTGTGGTTGTCATCACGGGACAGTGTGGAGGAGAGAGATAGAGGAAGAGGGAGGGGGAGAGGGTGAGAGGGAGGGGGAGAGAGGGACAGGGAGACGTGACGTGACGCGCTTCAAAGTGACCTGCAGTTTGGCAGTTTAGACTGAACAGAAGGGAGACGTGCTTAATATGAACGAGAGGTCTGCATTAGAGCTGAAGATCTTTGCCCGAACCTGGCGAGACCCGAAAAAATCCAAATCCCTGCATTAAAATCCATCCCTGCAAAGGTGAAGCAAATTATGACGAAGTAGTAAAAAAAGAGAATTTTGACGGCGGTCAAGCCAGTCACTAGCTCATAAGGAGCGGTTATTCCAGCCGCAGGTATTTAGCGGTCGCTCATACACTGCGTATTACGGTAGAGCCCTAAACCGCAAGTTGACAGGTAAAATGACGAGGCCACTCGCTACCCTGAAACTACGGTCATGGAAAATTAAATGGATGTTCCTGACTGGTATAAGATGAATAAACAATCCTACCTAAAACTTGCAAAATCAGCCAGATCAGAACTCTGCATCTCGGCCTGTAGCAGTAGCAGTGAAATGGTGTTCAGTGCTGGACGCACATGAGCGCAAGACTGCGCTAAAGCCAGTGGATTTAATAATGTTCCTCCACAAACACACGTAGCCTAATCTTGGTGAGTAAAGGGTTTTAAATTATAAATAAATATTAATTAAACCATATAATCATAATGTAGACAGAGTATACAGACTAATGGTGGCATTATTCTTTTAATATTCAGCTTCAATTTAGTTACTGCCAAAATACCCGTCATCATTTAGAGTTTATTTTAATTTGATTTGTTAAGCAAGATTTCTTTTCATTGGTGTGTTGGCCAATTTAAAGGCTAAGTGCATGTAGACCTATAGAGTGCTGAGATGTTACGATGTTACAGAGGACTTATTTTATTTCTTTGTTCCAACTTTCAAGTGGGATATAGTCTACGTTTGTTACGAATAAATGCTGTTAAAACATATAAATGACTCATTCTTGAAAAAATGCATTAGAGCTGTAAGGGCTTTATAAAGCTGTCAATCAAAATGTACGTGTCGGACTCGGGACCTATCGGGTATAATTTTTATGGCCCGATTACAGCTCTCTGCATTCCCGCGGGAGCCGGCCAGATTTCTTACGGTGTGGGAGTAAATTTCTGAATAAATCGCGGGAGAGATGTGTGTGTTTGTGTAAGACAGAGAAAGTCTCTCTCTCTCTCTCTCTCTCTCTCTCTCTCTCTCTCTCTCTCTCTCTCTCTCTTTCTCTCTCTCTCTCTCTCTCTCTCTCTCTCTCTCTCTCTCTCTCTGCCTAAGGTCGCATAGAATGTATTCAGTTTCTGAATGGTTTAGGCTCAAGCCAACAGTTTGGTGACGCTGTCTGAGCCTTACGTCATAATAATTTTTTTATTACGCCGGTAATACCGGATACCGGGGTAAAATATGGAGGCGGTTTGACGGTCTCAAAATTTGGACACCGCCCAAGCCTAGTGTACACACACTGTATGTACTGTGTTTGTGTGTTAGGATTTGTGGTAATGAAACTAAACTACTGCCTGTGAAGCTGATGGTTGAAGATGCTCTTTGCTATTGATGGGGTGTTCCAGGTTCATTGCAAGTTAAGCTGACAAACATGGTATTGATTGAACTCCATATTTAAAAATGATTACTGAAGTGCTCTCATATTTTTTTACTCATAATTTTCATTGCAGCATCACATTTTCTCAGTGTTCATTTCTGGTACTTTTTAATTGAAGAATCTTCATTTAAAAGAACTTAAAAATGTTTTTTTTTTTCATGTCTATGCTTGAAATTGCTAAAAGGGATTGTGCACCCAAAAATGAAAATGTACTTAGATTAAGTTTTTAAGTTTCTTTCTTTTGTTGAACACAAGATAATATATCTTGGAGAATATTGGAGATTGATAGCCATTCATAATACTTTTGGAGCAACTCTAACAACACTATGTTAGGTGAAATTTGGACAAATTCAACATTGGGTTAAATATGTTAATTAAATTTAAACTACACTTTTTAACTTAATAGTCAGGCTTGTCCATATTTGACCCTACATTGAGTTGTGACACCCTAATTTAGAATGCAAATTTGGAACAAGAGGGTGAGTAAATGATGATATTGTTTTCAGTTTGCGGTGTACTACAGTATACCTTTAAATGGAATATACCATCTCTACAGTATATACAGTTAAAGTCAGTATTATTAGCCCCCCTTTGAATTATATATGTATAATAGAGAAAGTCTTATTTGTTTTATTTTGGCAAGATAAAAAGCAGTTTTAATTTTTTTAAACACCATTTTAAGGACAAAATTATTAAGCTATATTTCTTTTCGATATTCTACAGAACAAACCATTATTATACAATAACTTGCCTAATTACCCTAACCTAACCCTAAGTATATTAGGATAATATGAATTTTCAGTTTACTGCCATTTCAATTTCTTTTTTGATTGTAAATGAAATTTCACTGTTTGATAATTTATTATTATTTATTTATACTATTTATAAAAAATAGTATGTTAGAAAATGAATATTTACTTTACTACTCAAGTCAACTCAAGTGGTTTAAAACCGTTATGAATAAAGAATATTCTGTTCTGGAACACAAAGGAAGGTATTTTGAAGAAAGCTGAAAACTGGTAATCATTAAAAAAACAAATACTATGGAGGTCAATGGTTGCTGGTTTCCAGTTTTCTTCAAAATATCTTTCATCATGTTCACTTAAGCAGAAACAAGTTTGACAAAAGTGAAGGGTAAATACAAATGACAGAAATTTCAGATTTGAGTGAACTATCCCTTTAAGTACAAATATTAGGATAAAACTTAAATGCAAATTTGGAGAAATGTTGCATTGAAAGCTAAAAATACATGACTGATCCTAAAACCAGTGAAAAAAAATTTGACAATTTTATTAATGAAAAAAAGAGGAGCACTTTTAATGATTTTCACAGATCCACATGATCCACAGGAATTGTTTCAACGAGGCCTGTAAGTTAAACTTGAGCAGTAATGCAAGTTTGATTTTAGTTTGATAATCAGGTAATCGCCACTTTTGTCACATTCTCAACTTATTTTGATAATGGAACATTCCATATAGGCTGAATCTAAATTTGCATCATGTTTACCTCACTGGTGATAGAAAAGTACATATGGATGTATAAAATTGAATCTAAGTTGACACCATTAGAAGCTACTGTAACTTTTGTTTTCATCATTACCATCTTTGATATTTTAACATTTATTTAATCATCTTGCTAAGTTCATTACATTAAAACATATTTATTACTGTTTTTTGAATGTATTTAAGTTTAGATTTGGCATCACATTCCCTGCCGTTTTTTCAATTGAAAAAAGATGTTTACTTGCACAAGGACTTAAAGGAGTAGTTCACCCAAAAATGAAAATTACCCCTTAATTTACTCACCCTCAAGACATCCTCAGTGTACATGACTTTTTTCTTTCAGACGAACACACATGGAATAGTTTCAAATTTTATCCTGGCTCTTCCTTAATGGTTTTAGGTAGTGACTTTTATTTTGCAGCTTCCAAAAAGCCCATAAATCCATCATCAAACAAACCCATACAAACACATGTTTTATTGTCACAATTACCAGCGATCTAGTTTATGCCTACACATATGCTTCTTTAATAAACTACAACTCCCGTCATGCATGTCAGACACATCAGTTCATGATTACACACACACGCCTGGAAGCTCATGATGGACTAATCCCACACACAGACACACACAGAGATTTTGCTGGGTCATGTTCCCCTGTAAGATTTCTTTGCCTTGACCTTTCGTGGATTTTGATTTTTGCTTTGTTCATTGTTTTGTAGTTTTGTCTCCTGTCCTGATCATTCTCAAATAAAGCTGCATTTGGAACGAGCCCTGTTGGCACGTTCATTCTTACGTAACAGAATTGTCATGCAGGCAAAGGTTAACACAGGAACAGACAGGAGCATACAGATAAACTAAAAGTGTAGTCAGAGTACAGGTGAATGGTCCAGACAGGTGGCAAAACGACATAAAACAATAAACAAAGCAAAGGTCAAAAACACGAAAGGCAGGAACAAGAAACTGCTTTAAATTGCTGACTTACAAATTACAAGACTCAGCAATGGTGTGCGTGTGTTGTGTTTAAAGTCAATCTGATTAGTCAGCTGATTATCAGCTGTTTGTGTTTGCAATCAAGGGGAATCTGGGCCAGGTGTGTAAGTGAATGGCATCAATGGGATCTGTAGTTTATTAAATTGGCAGATTGTAGTTCTCCAGTGATCTGCAAATACTACATTGTTGGTGATCATGATATTTATGAAGCAGTACCTTGGGCTTTTGTAACACAAAATATTTAACATTTTTCAAATTAAAAGACACTATTAAACAGCATGGAAGAGCCAGGATAAAATGTTTTAACTGTGTTTGTCTGACAGAAAAAAAAAGTCTTATATATGGATTGAGAATATATTATTGTGTCATTTATATTTACAAACTTTTATCCCCTCTCCACCGAATTGGCTCTATCACTGTCCCTCCACTCCACCAATAGCTGGTGTGTGGTGAGCGCACTGGCGCCGTTGTCCTGTGGCAGCCGTCGCATCATCCAAGTGGATGCTGCACACTGGTGGTGGTGTGGAGAGACCCCCCCTCATGATTGTGAAGCGCTTTGGGTGTATGGCCATACACAATAAATGCGCTATATAAAAAATACACATTACATTTACATTACATTTTCATTATTCCACGAAATACTCCTTTTAATGTTATTATTCACCTGGAAATTATACTGGCATACTATTTGTATTTCATAAATCATTTGATAAGGGTAAATGCAAATTGGGACACAGTCTTGGTTTGGGCTAGAAAGCAGCACAAGGGCAGCTTCTGTGTGTCCTGTATGTGTGTGCGTGAAACAGGATGGCAATGGGTGCAGAACGAAGCAGCTGTGCTAACATGAGCTGACGGTGTGAGATGCAGATAATATAAACCTGAGCAAGAATTGACTAATATTAGCAAAGAATTATGATTTTTGTTTCAGGTTTTTGCATGGCTCATGATTGGATTCATTTAAACACACAAGCATTCATGAGTTCCTGCACCATGCGCAAATGATTTCATCCAATTGAACATGCGCCTAAGCCACTTTGTGATGTATTAATTAATTGTTTGTGCTTGTTTTCTAGTGTTGCATCCTTATCGGCATATTCTGGGTCTCTGGCAGCCTGATATCGGGCCCTATGGAGGACTGCTGAATGTGGTGGTAAGATCACAAAACAATAACACAATTTAATTAGAATTTAAATACAAGACATACATACATATTGTGATGGTGATATGGTGGGTGTTACACGGTAAATCTCAATAGACTGAAATTGAGTAAAAATTTTAGATACAAAACATTGAACTGCTTTATTTAACAACATTTTTCTGAAGTGTAACAGTAGCTTAGTTATTTTAAAGCAGGATGTTTCCCAGTAAAACAAACTCACTTTTAAAGCAAGTAGAAGTTGTGGAATGATGTTATATGATGGTAAAGGTAACGTAGCAGTATCAGTGTTTACCCTATCATTAAATGAGAGGGGCGCCCCACCCTCCCAACTGCTTTCCCCGCCCCCCTTGAAGTCAAGTTAATTGTATTTTTTATAGCGCCAGATCACAACTTTTAAACAGCTAAATAGCCGTATGTATTATCTTATTTACACGAAGGCATGAAGGGCTTGAAATTGCAACCATTTTGGTCGTACATACACCCGAATTTTAATCTATGCGACCTTATAATATATTTGGGAGCATTTGTGCGACTGCATGTAATGTTTGTAATGCGACCTGTTTGATACTAAGCAAAGCATTTGTAAAATGGCTGATGTGTCATTGTGAACTTTAACATTGGAGCACATAATATATAATGTAATGGTTATAGCTGTGATTTTTTTTTAGCCATTAGCTTTAATGTCAATAGCATAAATATGATTAATCTCAGAACTGTGGCTATATTTCAAGTATTTTCCGTTTAGACTGGATTGATATACACCAAATGTATAGTGTACAGTCAGTTAACTGAATCCATTATTGATGAAAAGTACATCTAAAAGCTTAAATGTGATTCTGTCGTTTGATTGTTAAATGTTTTAAACTGCGTACAGAGTTGACATTTTTTACCATTTTGTTCTTTAGCTTGAGATGCTATCATCAAACCAGATATCACATGGCATGTCTAAAACCAAATTTTATGTCATGTTTTGTCATCATAGTTTTCAAAAAAGTGAATGAGAAGTTCAGTGAAATATCACAATAACAAGTAACATATAATTAATGTACTATTGGTGTATAGAAAGCATTAGTATTAATATAAGTGCTTTACAGATTTTTATGCCTTTTCATAACAGATGTAACAAGAGTTGACCAGAATGTAGGGACAGACACAAAATGTATTTTTTTTATCACTAAAATTACAAATAATAGAGTAAATAGAGGTTTCATGCACATGTTTACTTTAACTTTATAATGTAAACACATAAAAAAGAAGGAAATGTGTTTTTAGTAATTAACTATTTAATGGCATGCACTTAGGGACATTTTTAAGACAAAGAGCCCTATCATACACCCGACGCAACATGGCACAAAATGCGATGCAAATGTTGTTTGCTAGTTTCAGCTCGACGCAAGTGTCATTTTGACGTTTTGCACCACACTGTTTAAATAGCAAATCCATTTGCACTCATCTGTGCGCCCATAGACGTTCTGGTCTAAAGTGTTAAGGCGGATTGCTGGCACGTTGCTATTTTGAGAATCTAAAATAGACTGCACAACAGAACATCTGAGAGCAGGTCTAAAGTCCAGCGCAGAGTGTGTTTGTTATGCGTCCAGTTTTACCACTTACAGAGTCTGCCACGGAAATAGCAAATGTGCCATGGCACGATGCAACTGACTCTTAAAAGGAATGGGAGATAAGACTCTGATTGGTTTATTCTAAAAACACACCTATAACTCATTAGCATAACCCTGTTAGCCATGCATGACGGCGAAAAGCACATTTTTGCATTCTTAAAATAGCAAAAGTAGATTCAGACACGACCTTAATGCTTTTGCGCCCTGCAATCTTTAATCTTTAGATCTTTAAAATAGAGCCCAAAATTTTCCAAAGTACACATTTAAACATTAGTTTTAGAGATTACCCAACTTAATTTGTTATTATTCAAAAATATGAAGCATTAAACATAAACATTAAGTTATTTGTTTTCAAAAAATAAGGTTGGAGACTAAATTTACTATTTAAATTTACCCACAATTCTTAAATCACTCAAAACATAAAGTAGATATTTTAAATTAAATTTTATTTACAATGGCTATGTCCGAAATCACATGCTTTCATATTATAAAGTACGCTAAAAACAGTTTGCGAGCCGAGTAGTATGTTCTAATTCATAGAATTTGAAAAACAGGATGCGAGAAGTACCCACATGACTTACTACCTCCGGCAAGATTCTAAAGTGTGCATTCCATGCACGCTGCGCTATCCCATATTGCCCCGTGAGAGAATTCATAAATGGGAGTGAAGCGACGCAACTCATGTGGCTAGGTTACGTAATCATGACAAGTAGCAGGCGGTTTCAGATGTAGCCTATACGTTTTTTAGAATGTTGCTTTTAGTTAGTGCACTAAATTGTATTAAATATCCACTTCTAATGTAATTCATGTAAACGTTTATATAGTATCTTTTTAAAAACTAAAGTTGTTGATAATATGTTATTTAATCATACTATTGAGATCACTTTGGCTTCAAATGGTTCAAAGTCATTCAGGAAATAATATTTGGGTGCATATTTTAAAAAAAGAACTAGAAAAAGGATTCCATTTGATAAACCATTTTGAATTTACTATGAATTAGACCAATGGTTCCCAACCTTTTTTTGACTGAGACTCCCTTTTCCCTGGAAGATATTGTGAGGCCCCCTTCAAATTTAGTTATGGCTGATTCCAGCGTTATGGACGTGACATTTGCAGAAAAAAAATGAAACGTATATACTCGGAGAATGTATATGTTAACATTATATTGAAATATCTGTTTATATTTTTATTACCCCTTAACCATGGAGTTCAGGCATCAAAAAAATATCAGTCTATGCAGGTGTTTTATATTTAAAATGACGGCAAAATGAATGCGTTACGGACGTGACAAAAAAAAGACATGAGTTTTGTGAGTTGACATACTTGGTTAAAATTCTGTGAATAAAAACGCAGAAGCCAAAAATATATATAACAGTCAAAAGGATAAGGGTTGGCTCTGCATGGGACATTTATAATTCATTTTATTTAGTTTTTCATTTTTGCATTAATGAGGGAAAACTATCGTTACGGACGTGACTTGTCTTCGTTACGGACGTGACTGCTCTGAAATTGACAGTTGACACATTATGAAAATCAGAGAAATGCTTTCAAAACTTGACAAAAGACCTATTTGTGGATAGCTGTTGGGTGTGTAAACCAATAAACTTTAACCTCTGAGACATCTGAATGGTAAGGTTGCACAATTAATCAAACTTAAATAGATATCTCCTTGTTATATTTAATTCGTATTATGGCATGTGTGTTGTTAAAGGTTAACGCACGTTCGAATGTTCAAAACTCAATTCGGAAACAGCGGTGCATGCTAACATGGTGCTTTTATTCTCTGAATAATATAGAATTGATAATAAACATAATCAGCTATAATAGGCCTATGTTTATCGGGCTCCTTTCCAGACAAACTTGAATTGAATCATTGCCCGACTGTTAGTGCGCAAGACCGTGTCTACGTGGCGAATATTCAAAATCTAGTTGTGTCACAGTTATGGCAATATTATATTTGACAAAGTTTATTTTAGTTTATTCTAGTTAATGTGTTAGTCGATTGAATAAATAGTCTAATTTGTCCACTCGCGCTTGCTTTCTTTTTCTCGTCGGCAGTCACTTCAGGACAGGTTGAAAAAATTTAAACAGAGGACCAGGATGAGAGAGAAAACTTTATTATGAAAGATTTTGTGAAAAATAGCCATAATTGCAGGCATGTACAATGGATGACTATAATATTTATATTTTTAGGCTATAGTTTATAACCGATTGTGTAAAATATTGAATGACATTACAGCTGCAGGTGCTATCGATTTACTAACAAATTAAATACTCCTATAATGTAGTTAAAGCTTAGATTAATATCAAGATTTTATTCTTATTTTGCCGCCTGTAAAATAATTTTAATAAGCACTCAAGCACATTTGCCGGGTGCTGGAAATCTTTGAAAATGTTTTCATTTTAATGTAGGCTATAGCCTTTCCAGCTTTGAAAGTGCTTAGATTTTGGATAAAGGGCTTGGAAAATTAATTGTATCGCTATGATAATTTATCTTTATAAATGGTTATTTAATTAATAAAATAAAAACATATTTATGCTCTGCATGAAATGAAAACTCCGCTGTGGCCTGTGCAAGTGCCTGCAGCCTGACCCATGGCGTGCGCATTTTGAGCAATGGGAAAAGACCAAATGCATGGAGGTTATTGATTTTGCGCCCTGCATGTGCGCCTCGCGTTTTGCCATTGCCCGCTTTGTGAGCTCCAGAGGAAAAGCATGTTACCTCAGTGGCGTCTTTCATTCTTCAATCAAATGAAAGCAGAGGCGGGGTTTCCTTTGAGGTGACAAAGTGTGTTGTCAAGATACGGCGAACTTTTTAATAACGGAGTAGAGACTTGTGGTCGCTCTTTTAAGTCATCCAAAGTTGTATGACTTTACAAATCTTGAATTTCATAATATTATTTTAAAAATTAAATTATGACAACCTTGACAGCAACACTAGCGCACAATAGACCAGCTGATTCAGTTGTTACCAATAGTGACATAAAAAAAAGGACCGTGCTCCTTTTTTTCTTGTCAATATAAAATGCATTGCGGAGCACCACACGTCTCTGGAATGAAAAAGAGCGTTCGTTGTGATCGGCCTCTATGAGCAACACATATTTGTTAACTCGCAGAACAGTAACACGTGCAAACACGTGCTTACAGATGTATTTTGCAAAAGAAGCAAAATGAAAGAATGATATTCTGGCCACAGTTTGACACAGGAGTTGACACAGGAGTTGACGAACCAGCGCTGATGCTGGTCGTCTGTGCTGCCTGGAGCCGCGTCATAAACTCAACTAGGTATATTGATGATTTAGTGCAGACTAACCAACAAACCAATTTTTTTTCCATTTGGAAAATAACAGTTATTATTAGTTCTTATATACATTTTAAATAGAATACATAGCCTAATCTAGAAAATCAAACAAAGCCAAATATTTTAGGATAACTTCGCACCAAACTGATGCTTTCATTTTACAGCTTAAAAAACATGTATGCAAATTAATACAGTATCATATGTAAATAACAAAATTGTTATATCCTTAGCCTATATTTAACAAAAAGTATAGGTTCAAAGCCTTATGGTTCATCATTATCTTTCACTATAGCGCGCGCGCGCACATGAACCGCAAGTAAGACAGAGGAAATAGGCTAATAAATTATAATTAAGACATAATCTTTAAACTAATGACTTCTATTAAAAATGTTGACAGGTTTTGTAATATTATAACAGCGGAGCATTAATTGAATGCATTTTTTCCATAAAGCAATCTATTTGAGCTAGCCTAATATTTTTTAATTGACGGAAGAAAAAAAACACGATTGGACAAACAGCCTATGCCGATTCTTAAAAAGCATTCAGTCAATGTTTTCGTTTTGTAATCTTAATTTGTCATTTAAGTGAAAAAGATCTAGAGCAGGATTTATTTTATTATTTTTGTTAGTTTATTCAGTTTTTCTGTGCTGCTAAAAAACACTGTAGGTGCGTGAAGATGCTCCTTCTGTATGCTGTTCGCATGTTAAAATAACCTAAATCAGTATTTTAAAATGCAATATTTAATGTGTCAGACAAAATAGGCACGTCAATTTTTTTATTAAATAATATTTTGATATTAATCTGTTAACGGTTAATATCGCTTAACGAGCGGTTGTTTGTTGGCAAAATGAATGGAAATCAGCATTCCTAGTTTGGCATAAATTGTATCTTAACTATTTCATCTATTTTTTGACGGTCAGTTACCCTATCTACAAAAGAAACAAGTGCTTCAACACAAGGTGCTGCATCGCCAAAACACCAAGATTATGCACCAAGATTATGGCATGTAAAATGTTGTTCTCTTTATTAAACATTTATTTTTGAAATGTTACTAAAATGGTTTATAGCTAACTGAAATGTTCAGTTCTTGAAATAACATATGGATGTTATGTAATGTAAGTCAGTAATTGTAATGCAGCATCATAATGAACAAATATGCGCTAGTCATTGGCTTATATTAATAAGGAGTTCAAAAATGGTCACGTCCGTAACGCAAAATTGTAGTTGTTAAAAGCAAAGACCTGAGATGAGTTGGCGATCATAATTAGTATGGACATATTTTGGCTTTGTATACAAAGTTTCATTTTATTTGTTATTATATTTATTCCACAATATAAACTTTTTCATTAAATCGTTACGGACGTGACACGTGGCCGAAGCTGCGTGATGTCTTAAATATGTAGCTCATAAATCAAAAGGGCAATAATGTTATGAAAAAGTAAGGGTAATTATTTATACTACAGACTCCAATCCTTCTGCAGAATGATTACTGTTAACATAAAGCATGGAAAAGGTGAGTCTTTAATCCCTTTTTTTAAAGCACGAAATGTGGTTGGATTATAATGAAATTTACCATTGGCACAATCCTCATATTTCATGGATAAACAAACCAATTTCCTTAAAAATTCAACAAGAGCACATCATTACAATAAAATATAGACCTTAATGAGCAAATTTAAATAGGTTTTGTTATTTTGGTCAAAAGTTTATTTTTTCATGATAAGGTTGACATTTTCATGGAATTGCTCTTATATAACCGCTCATAAAATTTTGCAGTAATGATGACAAAAAATTTTGTTTTCAAATATACAGTATGTTTATTACTATATCTAGATATGTTTATGCACAAATAATAGCCTAATGTAAAATATAAAGCAAAACATCGGTAGGCTTTCTGTGTTTGTCTAAGAAAACAAATTTTTCCGAAATGTGAATATTCCATACAAGCTGTCAATTCTTGTCACCGCGCATCACACCGCTTGTGCGCACATACCGTGCACCTCCATTGGAAACAACAAACTTGTGCAAACTCTAGAAATACGAGATATGCGACCACATAAAAGGCAGCCGTCATCTGTGATCTCCATCAGTTGATCAGACATGCTTGATTCACCTGATTTGTTGAAAAATGGGTTGCGGATCCATTCCTTGGCAGTTCCTTTACTTGGCCTTTTTCCCTTGGCAAAGAAACTTTCCAAAGACATCTGTGTCTTACTCATTTTGCTGCTTTTGGGTTATATTTGGATGCTAAAGTGACCGAGATGTAAGCAAAAGAATAAAGTCATTTTTCTAAATAAAACACTGTTCAGACTCAAATAATAATAAAACGTAAATAATTAATTAATGATTTCTTGTGCAGCCTGGTACCAATTGATCCACGGACCGATGGTCGAGGACCACTGAGCTAGGGGATAAAATGAGCTAAGGCAGCATGATCATTCTCCGAATTGTCCACTGCTAAGAATTTTTTTAAATATGAAGCAACCCCCCACAAAGCTCGCTGAGGCCCCCTTGTGGGCCGGGACCCCCTGTTGGGAGCTGCTGAATTAGACCATAATAATCCTAATTTACCTTACTGCATTTTATTAGTGGGTGAAATAAATTCTCCCATGGCTTGTCACATATAAATGAGTAATATCACATGGGAAGCAGTGCATTATGGCTGTATATTGACACTAGTGGGAGGCATGCTTGGACTTGAGGCCAACATTCAGCCATATCGCACTGCTGCAATTGTGATATTGCGTTTTTACAACAGTTCGACATAATTGTGTATGAAAAAGAAAGTCAAACACTGAGAGTCTCAAAAATTCTTTTGTTCAAGGAACTACATTCTTCAACCATTCATTCACATCTGCAGCTGACGTCAGAACAGCAGAAACAATTGTTCATTCACCAACATCACTGTAGAGCTAGTATTTAAATGATTCTCTAGTGTAATGTCTATAAATATGATAAAACAGGTGCTTTTGCTGACATTTTAAGATTATGAAGCTAAACGGCATGAAATGCCATCAGTCTACAGAGATTTCTCTTTCTGGTGTTTCTTTGTTGCAATTGGGATATCACAATATTTAACCCAGAAAAAGCCAAAGTAAATCAAAAACAATCAGATTACTATGTTATAAGTACAGCACTACAACATGCAAAAGTGAGAGATCTGTATCACTTATCTGTTCTATAATGGTTTGTTCAGCTGTAGTTTGAAACTTATTCTGAGAAAACGTGAAGCATCAATTTCTTTGCTCTGCTCAGTGACAGGTTGATGACCGCTGACGAGTCTTGAAATTATAAATATTTTCAAAATTATCCTTGTAAGTAAACTACATAGACAATCTAGACAACTACATTCTCACCAAAAAAAAAAGCCTTAAAAGCACATTATGTTGTCTAACAGCTGCAATATTTGTCAAACTGTTGTAAGTTTATTGATCTGCTGTCACTTTATGTGGGCAGAGTAATACAGAAGTGTGAAGAGGCTGTACAAGTGCTGTTGTTGCAGAATATTGCACTGTTCTCAGCCAATAAGATTCAAGAAACCGGACAGAACTGTTGTATAATACTGTATATTAAATAGTAAAACACTTTAAATCACATACAATTACAAACCACAACCATTAAACGTCACAAATTTCAGATGTGTACCTCATTCTTTGTTGTTCTTTCTTTCTTTCTTCCTTCCTTTCTTTTTTTTCATTCTTTTTTTCTTTCTTTCTTTCTTTCTTTCTTTCTTTCCTTTATTTATTTCCTCATTTCTTTCTTTCTTTCTTTCTTTCTTTCTTTCTTTCTTTATTTCCTTGCTTTCTTTCTTTATTTCCTTTCTTTCATTCTTTCTTTCTTTCGAGCATCATTTTAGGTTGATGGGCTGTTCATCATTGGCTGGATGTATTTACCGCCCCATGACCCTCGTGTGGAGGACCCTATGCGCAGACGACCTCTTTTCCGCATACACATGTGGGAGAAAAACAAAGCCACAGTAGAATGTATGTACGGACACAAAGGGCCTCATAAAGGAGACATTCAGGTAAATTGCACAATGTTTGTAGTGCCACTAATAGCAGTGTTTCTCAACCACGTTCCTGGAGGACCACATGTTCCACGTCTTCTTAAAAGCAGCTGATTTAGATCATCAGCTTATTAGAAGAGACTGAAAGACCTGTAATGTGTGTGACCGACAAAGGAGACGTTCAAAACATGCAGTGTTGGTAGTCCTCGAGGAACGTGGTTAGGAATAACTGATCTATAACACATTTAGCATAATGGATTTATTTATTTATTTTACAAATACTAAATCAGTGTTTTATACAATAGCATACTTTAGTTTGATCATCTGGTTTAAATCTCAAAACTGTTCAGTCCTTTAAAAATTCTCAGATAAAGTCTCTGTTCCCTGACCATGAGGACACAATACAAATATAAATTTGTAAAGATTGTGTAAATTGTTTGATTTGTTTTAAATAAATAAATAAATAAATAAATAAATAAATAAATAAATAAATAAATAAAAAACATTGTCATACACAATATTATAGACTTAAATCGCCATAGTCATATGAAGACTATACCTATAGTAGGGCTGCACAATATACACTCTCTGGCCACTTTATTACTAGTACTGGGTTGGACTGCCTTTTGCCTTCAGAACTGCCTTAATCCTTTATGGGATAGATTCAACAAGGTACTGGAAATTTTATTCAGAGATTTTGGTACATATTATCATGAGAGCATCACGCATTTGCTGCAGATTTGTCGGCTGCACATCCATGATGCGAATCTCCCGTTCCACCATACCCCAAAGGTGCTCTATTGGATTGAGACTGGTGTCTGTGGAGGCCATTTGAGTACAGTGAACTCATTGTCATGTTCAAGAAACCAGTCTGAGATGGTTTGTGCTTTCACACGGTGCCTGAACAGCCAGCCTGAACCATTGATACGAGGCAGACTGGTTCCATGCTTTTATGTTGTTGACACCAAATTCTGACTCTACCATCTGAATGTCGCAGCAGAAATCGTAACTCATCAGACCAGGCAATGTTTTTTGAACCTTCTATTGTCCAGTCTTGGTGGGCATGTGTGAATTGTGGTCTCAGTCTCCTGTTCTTAGCTGACAGGAGGGAGACCCGGTGAAGTCTTCTGCTACTGTAGCCCATCCGCCTCAAGGTTGGACCTGTTGTGCGTTCAGAGATGCTCTGCTGCATACCTCATTTGTAACAAGTGGTTATTTGAGTTACTGTTCCCTTTCTTTTAGCCGGAACCAGTCACGCCATTCTCCTCTGACCTCTGGCATCAACAAGGCATGTGCGCCCACAGAACTGTTGCTCACTGGATATTTTCTATTTTTCGGACTACTCTCTGTAAACCCTAAAGATGGTTGTGTGTGTAAATCCTAGTAGATCAGCAGTTTCTGAAATACTCAGATCAGCCCATCTGGCACCAACAACCATGCCACATTCAAAGTCACATAAATCTCCTTTCTTCCCCATTCTGATGCTCCGTTTTAACTGCAGCAGATCGTCTTGACCATGTCTAAATGCCTAAATGCACTGAGTTGCTGCCATGTGATTGGCTAAATAGAAATTTGTGTTAACGAGCAGTTGGACAGGTGTGCCTAATAAAGTGGCTGGTGAATGTGTATTAATCTGCAGTACTATGGCTTAATAACTATGATTTAACTGTATTGTTGTATTCCTTTTTTCCTTTTATACTTGACAGTTTACATTAGGCGGTTGACATTAATAACAAACTACACTTATGTCGTACAAATTTATAATCTTTCTTCTTCACATCTTCCTTGTTCATATCCACATGCCTGATTGTGAATCAGATCAGATTGTGAGTTGCTCATGTATAATTGGCTAATATTAGCATTAAATAAACAGTGTACCTAATTAAGTGTTTACTACTGGACATCTAATTACCACCATGTCTGTTTTTCCCCAAATTGTCTTTTATACTTTTTCCAGACTGTGAAGAAAGATGAATTTTCCACCAAGTGCAACCAGACCGATCACCATCGAATGCCTGGAGGAAGGCAAGAGGTAAGAGAGCAGTGATGCTTGCACAGATTTTAAGGAATACTATGGCAGAATTGTCTTGTCTTCGGTTTTCTTGCATAGGAGTTCAGAACGTGGTTGGAGGAGGAATGGGGACGAACGCTGGAGGACATTTTCCACGAGCACATGCAGGAGTTGATCCTCATGAAGTTCATTTACACCAGCCAATACGAGTGCGTCTTCTTTACTATTCCTCACCCAGAACACTAACTAGCTATGTACATGTGAATTTATTAGAAAAACCAGTTGTGTGCGTAAGATTTATTCGCGAGTTTTCAAAATATTTGCACATCTCAGCTTTGCCATTAAGCATTTGTATGAGACGTTCCAAAATGAACATAGTTAATGTAGTTTTTATATTCCATTTCAGTTTCCAGTCAGGTGACATCATGTGTTTCTAGTGTTGTAAATATTTAATTTGTGTTTTTCTTTTCAGTAATTGCCTGACATATCGGCGGATATATCTGCCTCCGTGCCTCCCTTCAGACCTCCTGCAGCCAGGCCTCTTCAAAGGGACGTATGGCAGCCATGGCCTGGAGATCATCATGCTGAGCTTCCACGGCTCCAAGGCCAAAGCCACCAAACTCACCGTGAGTTACATAGCCACAGCTCCAGCCTAAACGCGATGACCACCTAATTTGTTGATGCTGCACAAAGTATTAATATTATAAGATGTGTTTCTTAAAAAATGCACATTTAAAGGGATTCATTCATTCATTCATTCATTTTCTTGTCGACTTAGTCCCTTTATTAAACCGAGGTTGCCACAGCGGAATGAACCGCCAACTTATCCAGCAAGTTTTTACGCAGCGGATGCCCATCCAGCGGCAACCCATCTCTGGGAAACATCTACACACACATTCGCACACATACACTACGGACAATTTAGCCTACCCAATTCACCTGTACCGCATGTCTTTGGACTGTGGGGGAAACCAGAGCACCGGGAGGAAACCCACGCGAAGGCAACTCCACACAGAAACGCCAACTAGGCCGAGGTTCGAATCAGTGAAATTCTTGCTGTGAGGCGACAGCACTACCTACTGCACCACTGCCTCGCCATTTAAAGGGATTGTTTATCCAAAAATGAAAATTTGCTCAATATTTACTCATTCTCAAGTGATTCTTAGTCCTTGAGATTCTTTTGTCTGAACACAAAAGAAAATATTTTCTGGAAATGGAGGAGGTCAAACAGGGTGAGCAAATTATGACAGAATTAAATTTTTTGGGTAAACTCTACCTTTAATAGTTTTAAAAGAGGATGAGTTTTATTCCAAATGTAAATTTATATTTATCTGCAAAAAACACTCCATCTGTAAAAACTAGCCTAGAGGGTTGTCTGTTTTTCAAACTAGCGTAGAGTGCCTTCTGCTGTAAAAACTAGCCTAGAGGGTAATCTGTTGTTAGAAACTAGCCTATAATGCTGTCTGTTGTTAAAAATGAGCTTAGAGAGTTGTCTTTTGCTAAAAAACTAGCCTAGAGCACTGTCTGTTGTTAAAAATTTGCCTAGAGCACTGTCTGTTGTTTTACTCGAGAGCATTTCTCATCAATGGTGAAATCCTGATTTGCTGCTCGTCTCCTTTAAAAAAAGGCGCAGCTCCAATATGTGCTGATTGTCTTGTTTACAGATTCGGTAAGTGTGTGCAATCAGGGCCCTTTCTTTGTTCATTCAGATGGCAAAGTTATAGTTCGTATGGTCAGCAGTACTCTTTCAGTGTTTAAAGACAGACACTAGTCAAAAAGATTTCTAAGTTACTTAGTTTACAGTACGTTAATATCACTACAATATTGAAAGATCCGCTGTAAATGCTGCTCTCTGTGTGTAAACAAGTGAACACTGCAAGCAAACTTTTGCTGACCGATGGTTGAATTTTCGCCGCATTTTGTGACAGGATACACACACACGGCTTTCTGACCTACCGAGTGCATCTGAGTTACAGATAAATGCAAAGGCTTTTTTCTCTTATACGGCGTGCGGTATCAAACATTTCACCGTCATTAAAAAACACTGTCTTTCTCCCCTGCGTGTGTGTGTGTTTGCTTTTCCTCGGTTAGCAGCATGAGCCCAAATGACAACTCCCATTTTTATTCAAACCCTGCCCATTTTCCCTCCCTTAACACTCCCAACCAAACAGAGCTAGACACACTTTTTCCAAACTAGAGGTGTAAAAACATCCTGCTGAAACGGAGGGTTTCATGGGCCTTTAAAAAACTAGCCTAGAGGGTCATCTGTTGTTAGAATCTAGCCTGGAGCGCTGTCTGGTGTTTATAAACTAGCCTAGAGAATTGTTTGTTGTTAACAACTAGCCTTGAATGCAGTCTGTTGTTAAAAATTAGCCTAGAGAGTTGTCTTTTGTTAAAAAACTAGCCTATAATGCAGTCTGTTGTTAAAAAATTAGCCTAGAGCATTGTCTGCAGTAAAAAAGTAGCCTAGAGCACTGTCTGTTGTTAAAAACTTGCCTAGAGGGTCATCTGTTGTTAGAAACTAGCGTAGAGCGTTGTCTGGTGTTTATAAACTACCCTAGAGCACCGTCTGCTGTTAAAAACTAGCCTAGAGCGCAGTCTGCTGTTAAATCTAGATTAAACCACCATCTGTTCTTAAAAACTAACCTAGAGCATTAGCTGTTGTTAAAAACGAGCCTAAAGCACTAGCTACTGTTAAAAACTACCCTGGAGTGTTGTCTATTGTTAAAAACTGGCCTGGCACATTGTCTGTTGGTAAAAACTGGCCTAAAGCATTTTCTTCATACCCAGTTTAAATGTAAAACGTTGCTCTATTTGCTTTGTCAACTTTTCAGGGTGATCCGAATGTCCCGGCAGGTCAGCTGACGTTGGAAATTGACCTGCAGCGTCCCGTGCGTCTGCCAGACCTGGAGCAGCAACGCAGTATGGAGGAGCTCTCTCGCCTGGTGCTGGGAGTGCACGAGGAAATACAGAGAGCCTCACAAAGTCAGGGCGTCCAAGCGGAGGCAGCAGAGTCAGAAGTAGAGGCCTCAGATTCAGCGCCCCCTGCTGGAGCGGAGGACGAGGAGCCTGCAGCTGCTGCCGCTCCTGAAACTCAGGCTTTCGTGCTGCCGCTGGGGGTCATGGCGAGAAATGAAGTTTACCCTCGAACATGCAAGATGTGGTGAGGGACGTTTACATTCTCTAATGCGCACACATATAATTATGAAAACAAGTTTATTTTTTATTTAATTTATTAACTATGAGCACAAAATAAAAAGTTTATAAGTAGAAAATTTACAATCAAATTCAGCAAAACAAAAACTCACAATTTTGAGTTTATACTAAGGCTGCACGATATTAGAAAAATCTGACATTGCAATGTTTTGTTTTTACCGTGTTATACATTGCCATATAAATATAATTTCACCAGATGAATTCACCATTTTAATAGCTCTATTTGGAAAGATCTTATTCATTTAGATGATCAAGTCTTTTTCTAAGCAGTGGATCTGCATAAATTATAATAAATTACTAGCCAAAATAAATAAATATACATTAATATAAATACTTTATGGAGTCAAAATCAAACAATCAAATGTAAAATACAGGATCATTATTGTATAAATAATAATAATGGTAATAAAAAACATTATTAATATTTTTATCTTTTAACCTTTTATAAATAATCAAACTCTGCGAAGTGACTATTTTTCAGTATTATTTTTAGTACCAACGTTTCCTTAGAAACGCAAGGCATAAATGTTCAAGTTTAGAACATCCTTGTATATGAGAAATTGTATAGAAAACAAAGTCAAAATTGTAAAAAAAGAACAACCCTACAAAATAAAAGTCCAGATTGTAAGATATTAATTCAATATCTGAAAAAGAATTGTTTCCAAATATGATTTATATTCAACCTATATTTTTAATTGTTTTGTTTCATTTTTAATTATTATGTTGAATGAATAAGTGAATGAATGCTACATAAGCACTTGAAATCAGAAATTACTAAATGTTTACATTATGTACATATAATATATTAAAATATAAAACTAATTCAAATATATAATGCAATTATACGTTTTACTATGGACTACTATAAGTTGATTAAATTTGTAATGTTATAATTGTTATATGTTATAAGTTATAATCTTATAAGTTGGGAGTTGTTACATCATTATTTAGTTTTCTTTTTTTTTCAAACAAGCAAGCTCTAAAATTGAAAATGGGAATTTATCTTGCATTTCTGAAAAAAAAAATTCTCTTTTTTCACAGTTATGGGATTTATTTTGTAATTGCAAGTTCTAAATTTGTAGTTGTAAAGTTACAATTTTGACTTTTTTTTCATAGTCTTTTGACAACCTTTTGATTAACTCAAAATTTGATTAACTTAAATCTTGGTTTTGAAAATTAGTAACTTCACAGAATTTTGAGTTTACATCTATAATTTGGACTTTTACAGCCCAATCATTTTTATTTTATTTTGTAAGAAACAAACACTGTTATAATAATAACACAACACAGACTCATTGTGAATGAGTGTCTACATTTCTGAATGAGTGTCTACTCTGTCTACATTACTGGAGAGCACAAATTATGTAGCCAGAGGTATGTCTGGCTGCATTTCGTCTTCAAACCTACAGGGCGGTATGACGCCACCACCGGCCTCTGTTCTTTTTTTGCGCAACCAGCTGACTGCTTGCCTTCGTGTGCACGGCTTTTCTGCTGTTAACAGTTTGGCCAGTGGCTCACCGCATACGTCTGCAAATTTGGGAGGCAGAGCGAAGTTGAGAGAGAGTTCGGTGAAAAACAGTTCTAGAAAGCAGGTAAAATAAAATCAAAAAATACAAAAAATAAAATAAGTAAATAACTGGGTGAGAACATGGTAAGATCCAAAAGTGTGGTAAAAATCAGGCAGGCGCGAGTGCTTTTCTTTTACTGGATTGCTTTTGAAGACATGGTTTATGGGAGAAGGTGATCGGGTCAATCTGTGCTTTTGAAAACACTATTGGTTGGGTTTAGGGAAGGGGGTGAGTGGTAGGGATCAGTCAAAAGTGGCTTGCAGCAGTGGATTTACGTGAAAAGAGCAATCACGAATGGCACTCGCAAAAGAAATTTAAGATCTGAAAAAGCATACCTAGCGTCTCTAGTAGATTCGCAAAAATAAAATCTGCAAACAAACGTACTTCCTGGCATGTAATTTGCAGTCTCCAGAAATGTAGACGGGGTATCCATAATGAGCTTAGGTTGTAATAATAATGACAATATATTTTTACATATACTTTTTAAAAAAGGGATTCATAACATAAATAAAACAACATTGCAAAAATAAAATGGTGTAAATTAATTTTTTTCTTTTATTTAAAGAAGATGAAAGTGCATTAGCTTAATTGTGAACTGGATTTTCTTTCTGCATTTTCAGTTTTTACGGAACTGGCCTGATCGCAGGTCACGGCTTCACAAGTCCAGAGAGAACGCCGGGTCTGTTCGTCCTGTTTGATGACGATCGATTCGGCTTCATCTGGCTGGAGCTCAAGTCCTTCAGTCTCTACAGCAGGCTGACCGATCAGCTGACCCATGCTCAGGCTCCCAGCATGCAGCGCTTCGAGAACATGCTCCGCAACATGCAGTCCTGGACGTCCTGATAGATCACAAACACGTTACACGCTCGCACTTCGGCTCACATTCGCAAATGGTGTACACTACCGGTCGGAAGTTAAAGATCAGTATGATTTTTTTAAGTGTTTAAAAAATTGTGCTTAAAAAGGCTGGATTAATTTAATTTAAAAACACCGTAAAACAAACCACAAAAAAGATAATATAACAATTTAAAATAACTGTTTTTGAATTGAACATGTTTTAAAATGAAATTCCTTTTTTATTGTGATTCAAAGCAGAATTTTCTCTCTAATCTTTCTTATTATTTGTTTACTTATTAGTATTAATAATAATTAATAATAATTGAACAACAATTGAACGCATTCTTGCCAACATTCCCATTTTTCCCAGGAGTCTCCAATATTTCAGACCCATCTCCCACCACCCTCCCATTTTGTTATTTCTACCGGAAAACTCCCGTAATTTAGTTCTCAGCCTTTTGGTAGTCTGTAACACCTCCGGGTTGCCAACTTCGGTATAGTATCCGATCGCTGCAGCCGCCCGAAACCCGTTCACTAACACTACAGTAGTTACCAACCCGGTTCTCAACTATGTTATTGAGACAAACACACAACCACCAGCCCCGCCCATCCCTCAAGACAAATGTTGGCAGGTATGATTAAACTTGTCCTTCATGAATAAAACACATTATTAATGATACTTCAGTTTCCATAAAAATTATGATGGTTTTCAACGCTAATGATAATAATAATAATATAAAAAAAAATGATCATTATATTATAATGATTTCTAAAGTATCACGAGACACAGAAATGAAGACTGAAGTGAATTTAGCTTTAAATAAGACTAATAAATACATTTTAAAACAATATTCAGCAATAAAAATATTTTAAATTGAAATAATATTTGAGAATTTAACAATTTTTATTATATAAATGTCTTTTTTTTAAATAAATAAAAAAATAACCTTACTTGTTATTGGTACTTCTAAATGGTAATTTATCAGTTTCCACAAGAATATGAAGCAGCCCTACAGTTTTCAACACATAATAATAATTTCTTGATTACCAAATCATCATGATATAAGGATTTCTGAATGATCATGAGACACTCAAATGAAGAAAGAAGTGAATTCAGCTTTAAATAACAGTTATAAATTACATTTACAACTATATTCAGTAAGAAAAATATAATTTTAAATTGAAATAATCTTTTACATTTTATGTATGTATGTATATATATATATGTATATATATATATATATATATATATATATATATATATATATATATATATATATACTTATTACTGGTACTTTTAAATAGTAAATTATCACAATTTCCCCAAAAAGAAGCAGCAGCCCAATGATTTTCAACACTAATAATATTAATAATAATTTCTTGATCTTTAAATCATATTATAATGATTTCTTAAAGGATCACAAGACTCTGAACTGAATACTAAAGTAAATTCAGCTTCAAATAACCGTAATGAATGGCATCCTAAACAATATTCAGTAACAAAAGGTTAATTTAAATTGAAATAATCTTTTAAATTTTTACTGTATTTTACATTAAATAAAAGTCTTTTTTAGTAAATGAGTGAATACATAAAAATCTCACTGATCCCATACTTTGGACTGGTAGTGAATCTACAGCAAAACGGCCATATGGTTGTATTATATTAGGCCTTTTCTTATCAGCTTTTTAATTAATTTATTTTTTATAACCTGAAAATGGCTACAGAGATGATTACGAGGATGTGAAATCCACCTTATTCTCTTCTGAGCGTGCCTCTGATACATTATAGACACATCCCAAACTCCAATCCTGTGATTTTGTGCTTTAAAAATTATTTAGGCGCATTTGTTCTCAACATGGCAACGTCTTTTAAGCATTTTTGTTTTGTTCCTCGATAAACAAAATCCATTGTACTTGGAAAATGCTTCCAATCTTCTGTCAACTCTTGTTGAAAAGCGAAAGACTTCCAGCTGTTTCGTCGCTGCAAATGTTGTCCATTTTATCACCTCATATTGCATCCATTAATATGACGTAAACAATATCTGCCAAATTCTTTTATTTAATTTAGATTTATAATGCTGTTGAAATTGAAAACGAAAAGTTACTGTATGGAAGCTTTTGTTCGCCACAGAATTAAATCAATAAATAAAGATTAAATACAAGTCATAATTGGCAACGTAATTTTCCAAAGTTTGCCCTTTTTCAGTTACTCAATTTACCTCTCACAATTTTGACTTTTATTTTGGAAGTTGACATTGTGACTTTTCTCTTACTTTTTTCAGATTTTTCTTATAGAAGCATGTTTTAAACTTGCGAATTTAAGCCTTACATTTAGGAGGAAAAGTCAGTTCTTCATATTTCAGAATTTTGACCTTTTTCCCTCAATTGCAAGTTGATATTAGATAGTTTTTCAAGGTATAAACTCAAAATTGTAAGTTTTGCATTTAAATCACTCAGTTTGTAGTTGGAAACTAAAAAAAAATGCAAGTCTACATGTTTTTTCCCCACATTTTAAATGGGCAATTTGCACTTTTATTTCTACATTTTGTGAGTTTATATAAAAATCCTAAGTTATGAATTGCAAAATGAAGTCTCGCAGTTTTTCATTTATTTATTTTGTCAATTACGATTTAAACTTTTTTCTACATATGTAAGTTCTAATCAAGTTCAGTTTGTGACTTTAAGTTGTGTTTTGTTTATTTAATAAAATTTTATTTAATTTTTTTCTTGAAACGATACATTTTTTTTAGCTCTAAACTTGTGATTAAATTTTTTTTTTTCACGTTTACGGATTTATATCTTGTAATTTGTGAATAAATCTAAATTCCAAATTTGTAATTGTAAAGTTAACATTTTGGTATTTGTAAAGTTACCGATTTAATTTTATATCTCTTAATCTTGACTTTAATTTTGAGTTACGGTAAGGTATAACCTCAGTATTGTGTTTTGCAATTTGTTTTTCATCGAATTGTACATTTCTTACCATTAAAACTTTAAATTTTATAAAAGTGTTTATTTCGTTCAGTTTAAAATTAGAAACATCTTAGATTTCTACATTTACGATTTCAACAAATTCAGCTGTACATAATTGTAAAATTTTTAAAGGAGGTGTGGCACCAAACACCGCCCCTAAACCTAACCGTCATTGAGGGATAAGCAAATCACACTAAAATGTACGAATGACATTGTACGAATTCATACGACTTAGCCACTAAATCGAAAATCTCTGAATTGCTGTGAGATTGTTTTTTTTTTCTTTTCTTTTTTTTTCTTTTTTTTTTTGCTATTGCAAGTTTTAAATTTGTAGTTGTTAAATTGGGATTTAGACTTTTTTCATAGTCGAAAATTTTTCAAGATTGTAATCTTTACAAACATTTTACCACGTAACTGTGTTTGTGTCTCACAGTTCTACATTTTTCTTCTAAGAACTAGTTTTCAAGCTTACTGTTTTTAGGGAAAAGTTGTGATTTCAAAACCTAGAATTACAAAGAAAATGTAGTCAAAATTGTGAGGCATGAATTCGTAATTTTTAACTTTATAATTGTAAGTTTTAAACGTAATCTCGGTTTTGAAGAATCGTCACTTCACTGAATTTTTGGAGTTTACATCTTATGTTTTCAGCACAATTGCATTGTATATCTTGCATTTGTAAGGCATAAACATGTAATCCTGCTTTTTTGGGGGGATTTTTGTGTTTGTATTTGGCACTTTTACGTTTTCTTCTTAGAACTAAGTTACGAACGTTCCATTTTTAGAAAAAAAAGGTCAAAATTGGGATTTCTAAACCTAGAATTAGTAGTCAAAAGTAGTCAAATTGTGATGTATGAATTCACCGTTGCCCAAAAAAGTGTGAATTTTTATTTCAAATATTTTTTGTAATCTGTGACGGAAATAAGCTTCCATAACCCGCAAACTGACGACCACACAGACTGTCTGATTTTCTATTTGTGTTCCTCTTGCTGTGCAGCTCTTCCAAGTGCTCTTCCTTCCGCAGCGCAGCGCAGACGTTTATCAGAGAAACTTTTATATTCGACTGCAGCATTACTAGCATTTGAAAATGAAAAAACAAACAACAGTATAATGTAAAGTGAATATATATGTAAATGCATTGAAACTATTTAAACCTTTATCAATATATTTGAGCTTTGTTTTAGGGATGATTGTGTATATATATGAACTAATTTAAGTATATCGCCTGTGTTTACAACCTCAGTCGAGTGATCATTGTTTCAAGTGGAATATTGAATTTAACATTTACGTGGACTGATGACGTACAACTATTGATTTTATTCCAAAAAATAAAAAGATTTAGCATTTGAATCAAAAACTGACTCAGAATAAACCTGATGTACTTTAGTCCCTCTTTCCCAGTGGATAAAATCTAAATTGGTTCCATTTTGTTTTTTGTTTAACGTCCTGATTCATAAACACCATTTCATGTTGACTTTAAATGTTGACCAAGTTTCCCTCCATCTAAAATGACAAGTAAATCGGCAAACCATTGCGCAAAAATCAAATTTATACATTTGTTTCACTTAAGTTTTTAAGTCACTTAATAATATATACAGATTTTATATTATACGGATCACAACCCCGTGTAAAACCATTACATTTCGAAATGTTTTGGAACAGTGAAGTTGCGATTTAAGCTATTTTCTTGGAATAATACATGTTTTTGTGATTTTTAAACTCAAGAATGTTATTAATGTATACTTATAACTTAATATTTATGAATTTCAAGATAGATTGTGGATTTCAACATTTTTTTAAATAGCAAAGTTTCGATTTGTAGCTATTTTTTTGGAATCTTAATTTTTTTTATAATTGTAACTTTGAGATTAAGTTATAAATGTAGTCTTCTAACTTAATATTTATAATTTTGAAGATGGATTGTGGATTTTAGATCACACTCATTAAAGCCCTGTGGAGAACCATCCAAATGTTTCAAAACGGTGAAGTTGAGATTTTTTTTTTATTATTATTATTTTTATTTATTTATTTTTATTTTTTTTTTTTCATCATAAGTCATACATTTTTCAGTATTGTAAACTTGAGGTTGTCATAAATATATAAGTACAACTTAATAGTTATGAATTTCAAGATAGATTGTGGATTTCGAAATGTTTCGAAACATTGTATTCGCAATTTTTAGCCATTTTTTTGGAATCAGATTTTTTGCGATTGTAAACTTGAAACTAAGTTATAGAAGTATACTTGTAACTTAATATTTATGAATTTGAAGATAGATTGTGGATATTATATCGCACTTATCACAACCCCTTGGAGAACCATTGAATTTCAAAATGTTTCAGAACAGTGAAGTTGCGATTTTTAGCTATTTTCTTGGAATCGTTGATTTTTTTCAAGATTGTAAACTTGAGATTAAGTTATAAATGTATAAGTACAACTTAATGTTTATGTATTCCAAGATAGATTGTGGATTTTATATCGCACCGATCACAACTCTTTGGAGGTCAATTGAATTTCTAAATGTTTTAAAATTGTCAAGTAGTGATTTTAGCTATTTTCTTGGAATCATACATTTTTCAGGGTTGTAAACTTGAGATTAAGTTATAAATGTATACTTAGAACTTAATATTTATGAATTTTAAGATGGATTGTTGATTTTATATTGCACCGATCACAACCCCATGAGAACATTACATTTTCGAAATGTTTCGAAACAATAACAACGTAACAAAGCCCTTTTTACTGAAATCGCACAACTTTGCTGATATGTGCTCCGAACCACTGATTTAAAACAAAAAGTTTGTAAAAAGTTTCCAAACTTCTTCAAGCAGTGATTTGAAAGCTGTCATCACTAGTTCAATTTTGTTCGAAACGTAATATATTAGTTGGTTACCTTGGCTGCTAACTATTCGAATCGTAAAGCGTTTATAGCCAAAAATTACCTTCAAGTTAATTTAAATAAAAAAAACTTTTCCTTGTTCACCGTCGTGAATTACTTAGTTTCTCTCTCTTATGATAAAAATCAGTGTGCCTAAAACGGCAATCTATGAATCTTGATTTACATCGATCACCATTACAATCTATATAGCAAATATATGCACATTTAGTAAATCCAATTTGGCCATACATATTTTACTGTATGGATATAGTACAATTCTGAGAGTTTTTTTTTCCCATCAAGTCCAAGTGTCTTTCCATTCTACTGAAATTTT